TGAAGAAATGATTCTTTTGAGTCAGATCTTTTGAATGGTTTGCTACTTCTAGTTCACAAAAAAAGTGTGAGTTGTCAGGGTGAATTGTTCACAAATTGGACCGATCTGGTTCTCAACTCAATGGTCCATTTTTTAGCAGTCCACTATTATGATAATTTAATGATGGTTTTGCATTATTTTTAGGCTTAACAAGTTTCAGTCCCCATTCATTGTAATTAAATGGAAAAGAATAACCAGCACATTCATCAGATACTTCATATGAACTCTAAACAACACGAGGCTGAGTAAATAATGACAGTATTTACTGTGCGTGCCCCCTAATCATCAATGCCATTTGTATTTGGTTATACTGTTGATTCAGGCTAGCATGAATTTCATCCCGGTTCCCTGGTAAAGTGGGCGTCCACTCTAGATCCACTGATTAAGAGAGATGAAACAACCTCTCACTACAACAACCCATCTCTCCTCAGAGCTCCCAGTTTCTTTTAGTTTTTTCATAGAAAGCTGATGGAAGTGTGTGTGGACGTGTGGAAGAGAAGAGTACAGTCTTCTGTTCGCAAGAGAGAGAGCTCTTTCACAACACAGGTTTCTTTCAGCATCTACATCCCCTCGCAGGGCTCTCAAGCCCAGCCATCAGTGGGTCAGGTAGAGGTAAAAAGAAAGACAGCACAGGGGAGTGATTGTGCCATCTTACCCAGAGCCCCACACCTCACAACACGACCCACACAGAATATGCAGACTTTTCATGCACTGTTATTGGGTTGAAATCTGCGTACTTCTGTGGAATGAATATAAATGTGGCAAAGTGCATTAAACACAACTGAGAGTACCACATGAAAGTGTTATCAAATAAATGCACATTATCCGAAGACCCCTATGATGGTGGTTCCAATGCTGCGGAAAATTGTGTTCTGCGGGCACATGACCTGTGTGGGCTTGCTCATGACACAGCCAGGGCCTGAACTCACTCTCTTCCTCTTAGTTGTGAGGCTGACGTTGCCCTCCTCATATTCTGGAGGGTTAAACTTGTGATGTTATGCCTATTGCTTTGTGCCATGGAGCCTCTGGCAGTCTCCATTTCCTGCCTTAACCTGCCCTCTTGTTGTAGTGCCGTGGAATGTTCTCCGACTGTGGAGATTTTAGTGTAATAATTGTGTTTATACCATGGTCTGGGTGAGTACTCGATTCTGATTGGCTGCAGAGTGTCCGTTAAAAAGTGATAGAGGACACCTAATAAAAGAGTTCTGGTGAAACTGACTGTTTACCATTCGAAATTAATAAATAAATGCGCTGGCTACATCAGTTGTGAGTAACCATAGCAACAGGCAGTTTAAGTATCCGTTTACAATTTATTGTATCAAAACAAACATCTAGTTAGCCGTTATACTATGCCTACCTGTGTGAATTAATTATAGGTTAAAAAAAACAAAAGTGTAACGCCCATGGCTAGACAAGCCTAACTTACATGAAAAAAAAATGTTAAGTTTCTGGCTCGTAAGTTAGCTAAACTGAAGGGTTCTCCGAGCTGAGCGGACTATAAATATCTCCGGTTGCTAAATAAACCGTCAGGCGTAACCAGGGATACCAAGTTATTGTTTGTAAAAACTTTAGATTTCGATTGTAAAACTAATTAAAATATAAGCTAATGTTTTAAAAATGTGTTATTTGGCAAGTGACCATGGTATAAGCGTGTTAATGCCCTTCGAGGTGTCCATTGTCAGGTATTAATGGACTTCGGCGGAAGCTGCGCGTCGGACGGTTCACGCCTCGCCGTCGTCCATTAATACCTGACAATGGACACCTCGTCGGGCATTAACCCTTACATAATGAACTCTACTTTAATAGAATCTTTTTATTAGTAAAATACCAAAACCAGTGGAATGTTTTTTCTGGGACTTTCACGCAAAGATTCAATGTAGAATTTGGTACAGGGATTGTCCCTTTGGAGGAGGGGCCTTGCAGCAAACTTCTGGTTTCTAGTCCTGAGTTTTAACCACTATGCCACATCACCCCCTTTCATACACCACTTAAACCTTAGAATGAATTATTAATATTCAAACCTTCACAGCTGTCACACCTTTTCTCATGAGTGTCGAGAACGTCCACTGTGAAGACACTTACGCGACTCAGCTGATTTATATCCGAGCGTTTCCGCTAAGCCGTGTGTCCTGTGTGATTCAACACAATGGGAGAGTTTGACACCAGCTTGTGATTCAGAGGGTAGAAAGACCTTGCAAAGATTCATCTCTTCAAAGGCACAGTCGGCAAAGTGTTTTCCCTCAGCTGGAGTCTCAGTGTGTTCATGAAAATAATCAACTTTAGCCATCATATTTACCCAGTCTGATCCATTTCCACTCTACTTGTCTGTACTGTTACATTTCACATCTAATATAAACAGCTGTCTGCTCCAAGAAGCTAGTCTGAGGTCATGGGTTCAGGAAATGAATGGCTCCTTTGGCTAACCCCGTTTGGTTTCTTATTGAGTAAAAGCATCTGATCCTTTACTTTTAGTTTGATCAAATGTTGGGCCAAAATATATGCATTGCAAAGTAGACCGCATAAGATGTTTCTCGATGATTCTTGATAAGATAAGTCAGGCATGTTGTGGGTCAAGGCAAAGTTTCCAGACTGATGCTGCAGGCTTCTAGAAATGTAGGATTTGCTTCTTGTCCAAGACTTGCAAAAACTTGTGAGCTGACCGTGTAGGCAGCTTTTTAAGGCTTTGTTGGCACTTCGGACATAAAGTCTGTTCCCAAAGATCAGCAGCATGATTGCCCTGCCTTTTAAGACGCCTTCTTTTGGCAAATTTCTAAAGCAGCATTTCATATATTCTTTGCAAAGAAGGCAATCCCAAAATGCACTCAGTTGTAACTGAAATCATTTGTAAGTTGAGTCTCTTAAATTGTCCCGAAAGGGTCCTTCACGAGGTTCACTTTCCAGTGCAATGCTGCCTGGAATACACTACATCAGTGGTTCCCAACCTTTTTTTGTCTGAGACCCCCTTTTTCCCAAGAAAATATTTTAGGGCCCCTCCTTTACATTTAATGATATTAACGCTCTTGTAAGCTTGCAGCAAGGATGACAAAATATGTTTTTTTTCAAACAAATGGTATGTTTATGCACAAATAATAGCCTATAATATTGAAAAGACAATAACAAAAACATCAGTAGGCCCTTTGTAATTTAAAAACGTAAGCCTAGGAGAAGCCTATAAATTGGCCCTATTTGAAATGCAAAAACAAAAATATTCGCACTGGTGTGTAGGTAAAAAAAAGAAAGAATATAGGCTATTACTAAATGACTGTTGTCTGGGGCCTCAATACTTGCATGTTATTTGTGAGGCTTTATTTGTTACGCTTTTGGCGCTATAGCGAGCGATAATAAACTTGCATTTATTAACAGAATAATGCGTCTTTCGGAAGAACATTGTAGCCGGAACTACTTCTCTCTGTGTACGTCTATGACGAGTCACGCAGGTACTGGGCTACTCCGCAGCGCAGCGATCCGAACCAGTGTAAAATAGTCCCACTGTAAACACTTATTATAGGTGTACCATAGTGGTTCAGGATAAGACAAAAACACGGATTGGAAAATGGATTCATGATGAACTCGCTCATTATATACATTTTGTAAATTTTGAACAGAAAAAAAGTTAAGGACTTTTGCTCATTGCTCAAACCTTTCAAAATATGACGCGACCCCCCACAGAGCTCGCTGAGGCCCCCTTGTGGGCCGCGACCCCCCTGTTGGGAACCGTCGCACTACATGACTTTTCTGAACAGATTTTAAAACACTATGCATCATACACTTGCCGACTTTATACTTACAAAGAATAACTGGGCATCATACACTAAATGACTGAGGATCACACACTACCAGACTTTCAAGTTATTCTGAACGCAACAAACTCAGAAATGTGCACCTTGTTGCTGGAAGACGCATGACAAATGACAAAAATATGTGTTCTAAAATCAGCTTAAAATATCAAACATGTTTAAGATCCTCTAAATGGATGGAATCAACGTATACATCAGAGTCTGTGCTCATTATGCACTATGCCATTTTCTGTGAAATCTGGCAACAGAGCTTACCTCTCAGGCACAAGAGCAACAAGTCACAGTCAAAGGTCATTGTTTTAGTAATGACAGCCAAGCTGTGACTTGACATTTAAAGATATTAAGGGGGATATGTAGGCTACCGGTGCACAGTTTATTCCAAAAGCACTACAGTAAAGTTGTACTTGCCAAATCAAACTCTGCTCATTCTTTATGAGGCCACTTGTGCCTCAAGTGACAGCTTCCCCTTCTAAAAGTGATATGTTTGCAGTATTGGCTGTGGGCGAGGACTTCACTAAGACGAGATTCTGGAAGGAGATTTACGTCCGGGACGTCTGAAGTGTTTGAGGAGGGGTGGTTGAAGACAGCCCTGTTAATCTTCTGTTAGAGGTCTTGCTTTGGTTTCGGCATGTCCTAGCAAAATACATCCGCCCCAGACAAGTAGCATTTCAATTTGTCATGCATTTCAGTAAACATCAGATCATATGAGGGCGTCTGTGCCCCGAGGACACAGTTTTTTATTGCCTGAGCTTGTGCTGAATTGAATATATCTCCCCCTTGTCGCCCTGATTCTTTTTTTTTTTGTCTCTTGAAACCTTGTAAATTTCAGACTTTAGTCTCTAATTGTGCCACAGCTTGAGCAATACGAGGCACTTTTACTAGACATTGGTTTGTTGGCAATCTCACATTTACTGGAGTTTTTTATTTTTCCATTCTCTTTATGACCACACATAGCCTCAAGTGTGGAATGATGAGAGTGTAACTGTGAGCTTTGGGATCAAATTAAGCTGATTAAAGTTATTGAGTGGCTTCTTTATTATTTGCCTGTAGCCTGCATCTTTCCCAAAAGTACTGTTTCTTAGTTGTCAATGTTTTTTTTGTGCTTTTGACAACTCTCACTCCATCTCTTTCTAAAGTTTTCTGCTTTTTTTCTCCTCCACTCAGGTTTTCAGCGTTGCATCATGCTGCTCTCACGGGCACTACAGAGTTGCTCTCCCTGCTGTTGGAGGCTCAGGCTGTTGTGGACATCAAGGATAGCAACGGTTAGAACGGCCTCCTCATTAACACCAAGAATGATGACTACAAAATAACGATAACTATAGAGCATAGGTCTTCAACCGTGCTCTTGGAGGCCCACTTTCCTGCAGAGTTTTACTCCAACCCTAATCAAACACACCTGAACCAGCTAGTCAAGCTCTTCAGGATCGCTTGAAAATCTCAGACTGAAGCAGGTTTGATATAAACTCTGGGCCTCCAGGAGTAGGGTTGAAGACCTCTGCTATAGAGGGTATGCATGTGCCGTCACCGTCGGAGGGAGTGACTGCGGTTACGCCCACTGAGCGGCAATATTGGTATTCAGCGCGAAGGCCGCGACAAACACACAAAACACATCTAAAATGGGAACGAGCTTTGAGATTTGACAAGAAATCTGAGGCATATTTTTACAGACTGCCGAAAGTATTTTTACGTGCCATCGAGTGTTATGTTATTCCCACATAGATAGGTATTAATACAACCGCTGAAAATAGAAAAGAAAAGCAAATGGATCGCTGCAATTCACAGGAACAACTGGACTCCAGGCAGCGAATCTTAGATTTGCAGTTATCCTTTTGGGTTAATATGCAAAATTTGGGGGTAAAATCATACCCTATATATTGTATTCTTATATATTGTATTGACTTACAATTTTAATAAACTGACAAAATCTATATAAGTTTTAGTGCTGAAAAATATGACGATATATATAACATTATTACACGGCTCTGTGGAATACTTGACTCTGATTGGTCAATCGTGCCATCCAGTGGTATATTATTCCCAGACAACAACCGCTGAAAATAGGCTCACACAGGCTCATCATGGGATACTAAAGTCAGCAGCGCTAAACGCTTGCTAGGAAAGTTTTTTCTTCGTGGAAGTTTTGCGTTTGGTCCAACTATATCGAGTCCAACCGTTAGTTTAAACTGATAATCGTTTGTTTTACTCAAATTTTCGCAGTTTCCCCCTATTAAATCCAGTCATGTTGCATACCATCTATATTAGCGTCCACACCAACGAACAATATTGTTCTGCAGTTTTGTCGTCTGTCACTTTAAATGCTCACGCTCTTAAACGGGGTGGATTCTGATTGGCTGTCAATGTTCTTTATCGCTCATCAGCTGGAAAAAAACTTTGGGAATGCGATTCCACTGACATTATTTCAGTGTGTTGTAACTTGATTTTTAAACTATATCTTTATCGGTATCGTCATAGTCATCGTCTTTGTGAACGAGCCTCAACACATGAATTGAAATGGAGCCAATTCTTACATTTTGTACACAAAATGTAAGAATTGCTCACAGAACTCTGAGTTCGAGGTTGAATTTTTGTATGTTTTGTTCTGCAGGGATGCGGCCGCTGCATTACGCAGCATGGCAGGGTAAAGCTGACTCGGTGCTCATGCTCCTGAGGTCAGGGGCTGCGGTCAACAGCGCGTCTCACGACGGGCAGATCCCACTGCACCTGGCCGCTCAGTACGGACACTATGAGGTGGTGCGTATCCACTAGCCCGCACTCAGAGGCTTCAAAACAGTTGCTGGTCTCAGACACGTCACAAACACAAACGGCAGTGCAGTTTGTCCCTTATGGAACGAAAATATATTTCCCATATATGAATGATCAATATATTAAATGGTTTAACCGTATATTTGAAAATATACAGTATAATATATTGTGTTAATATTACAATATATTGAATAATACATACGGAATTGCCGCTTTTCATATATTGAAAAATATGTGACAATATATTTACTAATATATCACAATGTATGACGTTTTTTTATTCAGTAAAACAGTTCATAATACCGGTATATAGATGTATATGTGATCAGATATGGTACTGCATGTGTAATATATTGCAGATATGTTTACTCAAGCAAAATAAACACATATACAGTATATAGAGAAATATATAATGTAATGTATTATATCATTTCTAATTTTTAATTATTTACATTATAAATGTCTCATATTTTCAAACTAGTTAACAAAAGCACAAGCACACCTGCATGTACTAAAGTATCTAACCAAGAGACTATCACTGTACTAAGGAGTGCACAGCCATTACTTTTAATGTATAGTAACTATAGTCTTAATTATGTTGGGCCAATCATCAACCGAACCACAGGCTCTACTCTTCAGCACAATGGTCACCCCAAAAACTCACACACACACCAGAAAACCTTTTAAATTGCAAAATAATAGAACAATAAACACTAACAGATCTCCCCCTATATTAATATTGAGCAAAACACATTAAATAACACTTAATTTTAACATTTGCTTTCCTTCAACAGTCGGAAGCAAAGCATGCTGGGAACTAGAAATCTGTTGTAACACATTCTGTGTGAACATACATTCACATTTATATGGGAACATGTATGTGGAATATACGTACACAATAAAGGATAAAACATTGTGAATATTACATGTAATGCTATTTTTGTCTTCATGTATAAATATTTTATATGTATTAATATATAGCCATACATTGGTCAATGCATGAGAAATATAAGCACTAGTTTCCCATCTATGGAAATGTATCGCATTATATTTTGCAGTATATTCCCATATATTTTTGTTCCGTAAGGGGTCACTCTAGCTAGCATCAATGGGCCGGCCTGACATTGTTCAATGTTTTTTCTATTGAAAATCTTTCCATAATTACTTTGTTTAAAAATGTGGTTCCATAAGCCAGCCCAGTCAGCCCTACAGAGAAAACTGTCCAGTCCATCCCTGTTTGAGGAGCAGTGTTGTTGGATACCGCACCTGCAGATCGTCTGACATCAGCTCACTGAAACGCAAAGAAATATGATATCTGCGTTGCGACATCAACAAGTCACCCCAGATTGTTTTTTTCTTCTTTTTGTGTGTATAGTACAGTATTAGTGAGGGATAAAGATAATCTGCCTGTTTTTATGATTATTTTCTGTCTCTTGTAACAAGCTGGATAGTTCATAACAAACATAATTCATCTATTCTGTCTCTCTTTCTGTTTATCAGTCTGAGATGTTGTTGCAGCACCAGTCGAACCCGTGCGTGCTAAACAAGGCTAAGAAGACTCCTCTGGATCTGGCCTGCGAGTTTGGCCGGGTGAAGGTCAGTCATCTCATGTCTGGTCATTTCTAGCTTGTTTATGAGCATTCTTCATGTGGGATGTCATTCGTTACGTCACTGTCACTATGACTACTGTGATCTCATAAATCCTGTTATCTGATGCGCGGTTGATAAGAACATGTCCAGTAGAGCTGCACGATTCTGGACAAATTGAGATTTGTTTTGTTTCAAATACGATTCTCCATTGATTCTACATAGACAACTAAACATAATACCATGGGATTTACCAGGTTCTTTTTTTTATTTTTTATTTTTATTTTTTATTTTTTATTTTTTATTTATTCACAATTTAACACATTACACACAACACAATCACAGAAAACACCAAGAAGAATACCGCTAAGTATATCGACAAGACACACAACAACAACAACAACAACAACAAAAAAGACAAAAAAAAGAAGAAGAATCTACACAGTCTGTGGGTTATCCATTATTCCATTTAAGTTGATAATTGTATAGTCTCTATATAATTTAATACTAAGGCCCATGTGGTTTGGAACTCTTGCAGTCTTGAATGCTGTTTACTTGTAATTTTTTTCAATGGGCAACAAATCTATTATCTGATCCAGCCATTGACCCAATGTGGGTCCTGACTGGGAAATCCATGCAGTAAGTATGCATTTTTTTGCAAAATAAGAAAACATTGTAAACACACATTTTTTTGTAAAGGGAAACTTGTTTTCAATATCATAATTCAATAAATATAACATAGGGCATAGCTCAAAAGTACAGTTACGCATATCTTGAATAACTTTATGAATCTTCTCCCAAAAAGAAAAAATAGCTTTACAATACCAAAATAAATGCATGAATGATCCTAATTCAATTCCACATTTTCTACACATAGGAGAGTTTGTATCATTAATCTATTAAGCTTCACTGGAGTTATATAGTATTTATACAGAAATGTATAATTAGTTTCTTTAACTTTAATGTTCACACTCAAGCGTAAGGTCAAATTGATACACAAAGTTAACCATTCTTTTTCGCTGAACTTCCTTTTAAGCTCTAATTCCCAATTTGTTCTCAGAGAAAAAAAAAGAATTTGGGGAGCTTTCTAACAGAATTTTATACAAATGAGAAATCTTCCCCTTAACCGAAGTAGCAGAAATAATACATTTTTCCAACTCTGTAGGATATAATCTAAGTTGTCCCTTTTTATGTAGAGATGTAATAATGTGACGAACCTCCAGATATTTAAAAAAATCTGTTCTAGGAATTTGATATTCAACACAAATAGCAGTAAACGATTTAACAGACTTAGAGTCTTCATCAAACATATCCGCAAAAGTTTTCAGCCCATGAAGTGACCAGTTTCGAAAATAAGTTTGGGAATGTGCTAAAAAGTCAGGGTTAAATGCAATAGGTGAGTTTTTACTTATATGACCTTTTGTGCTCAAATACCTATTACAATCCTGCCAAGCTTTCAGTGTGGCTTGTAAGGGGGACAACCCCTCTACCTCCACACTCATCAGAAACTTCAAGTTATTAACATAAAGTGTTGATGTAATCTCCAATCGATAGGATTTACCAGAGGTTCTGATACAAGTATTGAACACTTTACAAGTACCGAAAGAATTTAGGGTGCTTTCACACCTGGATCGATTTGTTTTGTTCCGGAACAGATCCGAAACAGAATACTTTGTTCCGAATCAATTTAATACGTCAATCTGTTCACACCACACTGTTGTAAAGCGGTCCAAATCGCGCACCCTTCCAGGGCTTTCCTTACGCCTTTTCGTCACTACCTCATGCGTGCAGGTCGCGCATTCCATTGTGGGACATCACCATGACAACAGTAGCCTAACACAAAATGAATCGCGGGTTGACTTGGTGCTACGAAGAGGTGAAATGCCTCATAGATATTTGGTCGGAAGAACACATCTCCCGGATATTGGACACTACACACAAGAACACCGAAGTGTGACCAAACGAACCGGGCCAAAAGGGAAACGCCCCTTTGTTTCGGAACAACGTCTCCAATCGATCCAGGTGTGAAAGCACCCTTAGAGTATCTAGAGGTTAAAAAACAAAACTGCATGTATTTTGTGGAAGAACATTGTTCTGGATGTGCTTTGTCTATGCGGATGAATATGGTTAATCCACGGCTCATAAAACATTCACCTCTAGGCTTAAGAGATATAACCGGTTTAGATGGAAAGGATCTCAAGCTGACTAGCTGAAGACGTTACTGTAGCTTTAACCATTAATGGACACGCACTTCCCTTTAATTAAGTTCCAACACAGCACTACAACAATTATACTGAAATGACCCTTCACAATAATGCTTTACGATGAAGAGAGCTGCATATGCCAGTTTATCTGTTCAATAAAATACCTTACTCCTGTTGAGTGATAAACACCATCATCCCTGCGTCGCTTTTACAACATTTTAAACCCCTCAGTTCTCGCCATCTCCGAAGCCAAGCCAATGTTGATTCTTGTTTTATTACGAGCTCAGTCTGTTTGCCAGCTGACGCTCTTCTGTTTGGCGTTTGTTTATAAAGGGCGATTCCCCGGAGGTTGGAGATTTAGGGCCAGATTTACTAACAGCTAAACCCTCTTTTGGCGTTAAAAAACTACTGTCATGATTTACTAAAGACACGCAGTGAAAAATGAGCGCTGAAAAGACGTGGACAGGGTTATTTTCGCGGCTGACCTTTGTAGGAGTTTCACTTTCAGACGCAAAATTTACGGGAGGAGAGTATTCAAATGAATCACCCAGGTTTGCGCTCGTCAATGTACTGGTGTTTGCAACATTATTTACCGCCCACAAAAGCATGTCTTAAACCAAACGCTAATTTGCGCTGCTCTTGGTAAATTGCGTTGGTCATTATTATAGAAATGATCCGGCTGTGTTCTTTAATTTGCACATCGTCAGTAGATCAAGCTCATAACTTTCCACTCCCACCAGTGTTTTTATGGGATTACGCTCACACTAATTTGCTCCGTTTTGTAAATCTGGCCTTTTGTGACACCTAACCAATGCCACTCCCACACCATACACACGTCAAAGTAGCCGGAGCAACTTTTCTCTATTTATGGATATGACAAGACATGCATGGGCGAGTGACATGTGAAAACTGTCCCGACAGGTTTAAAATATAAACACCAACAGTTTTATCAAAAGCGACAAAAACATGTTTTGGAAGAGGGATTGACGATGTGCTGACTCATTATTTTGTCAATTATTAACAAAAAATGGTACATGCAAAATATAAATGGACAGTTTTCGTGAGAAGAGAGCATCATACCGTGGTGATACCTGTGTGCATGCAATCAAATTCATTTCCCTCTTCTCTCTCTTTCTTCCCTGACTGTGATTTTGTGTGATTTTTGTGTGTCATTCGTTCTCTCAGTGAATACGAGCTCAGAGTTTGACATGTTCTCGCACACACATGCCCAGCGGTGTTTGATTTCAGTTCAGCTGTGTATTCAGGCCTTTTGGAGGTGTTACTTTAAGGGCAGTGTGTGTGTGTGTGTGTGTGTGTGTGTGGTATTTAATCAGCTGCTGTATTGAGGTATCAGGGTGCGGCTGAAGCAACCGGATCAAGTCTTTCTCTCTCACCAAACTCAGTGCTGCCGCTTTACAATGCACAGCATCTTCAACATGACAAACGATTGCTTTCAATGCGTGCTCAATGAAGTCAACGTGAGCACGGATTACGCATAGAAAAATTCAAACTTTAGTACTACCTGTCACAAGTGTAGCATATCTACTCAATATGTGTAACTTTATAATACTTATAACTTTATAAGTACTGTTTTCTGCATTTTTGCCATGAAAACTATGAAATAAAATGGAATTATTTAATTACCAAATAGTTGATTTTGCTCAAAGAAGCTTTTACTTTTTAAACAGTTTTTTCCATGCATGCTCCACTTCACTCCACGGTATCCCACAATCCCCAGTGCAAGACAAGTCCGACGCTTGACTGACGCTCAAACTGCAGAAATCAACTGAAACGTCTCCTCAGGCCTATTAGTTTGTGGCCCAGATGTTTTGGGGTGTTAATGGTCACTGGGACACGGTAGCATGAGCTCATCCTCACCTGTGAGACCTCTGCGCATGTGTGTGTGTGTGTGTGTGTGTGTGTTCTAATAACCACATTTTAATCTCTTCTTAACACCCCTTTTCAAGCTTTTTTGGAGACTTTCGTCCAATAATGTTTCTCCAAATTCAGTTTTAGTATAAAAAAATAGGTACTAGATATTACATATGAATTAGAATTTACTTTGCAACCGTTAAAAAAGTATGTTCTAGAAGTATGAATGTGTGTAGTATGAATGAAATTCGGACGTACTACATCCACCATGTTGTCACTGTCATGACACCTACCACCATCAGATGCTGCATCACTTCTCTTCCATTCACAAATCCTCTCCCGTGGCCTCATGGGATAGTAAAGTGTCCATCAAATGCACACGTCAGGATCTCGCCGGAAGTCATCCGGGGACTTTGCCGACTCTTTTATTATGAGTACTGTTGTGTTAATTCGGACATACTACTCTTTTGGCATTATATTTGTCACATACTATAGTAGGGAAGTGTCCTATTTTCGTACAACGGTGTTTGTAGCTTACCTATACCATTTATTCCGTTTAATGCCACAGTTTATGTAAGAATGGTTGGTAACACTTTATTTTGATGGTCCCTTTTGAACATACTTTTGACTATAAGTAGCTTTGCAACTACATGTCAAATAACTTTCATTAGAGTATTAGTAGACTGTCTGCTTAATATCTGCCAACTCTTTATTGTGATGCTCCTCCAACAGACAATCTACTGACTATAAGTAACTTTGCAACTACATGTCAACTTATTCTATCCCTAACCCTACCAGTCTACTGATACTCTACTAACACTCTAGTGAGAGTTAGTAGAGATGTAGGTGAAACGTTACTTATAGTCAAATGAATGTGTTAAAGGGACCATCCAAATAAAGTGAAACCGAATGGTTTTGTTTAGAAATTTAGGAACGAGAGCTAGTACAAAATGTGTAAATATAAATAAAAGTAATTTTATCAAATACAATAAAATATTTTTGTGTGTAAAAATGTTATTTTAGTTGTTATTTATACACTGTTTATTCATATTTAGAATTTTATTTTCAGGTTTCATTTTCATTTAGTAATTTTTTATTATTATTTTTTTATATTTATATTTGGCGTTAATTCATGCATTTTTATTTCAGTTTTAGTAATTCAGAACTACAATTTAAACGTACTTATTTCAATTAGTTGACAGGGCACCATTTCACATTTATATGTTATTTTTTTTAGGTTTTTCATAATTTTTTTTAGATTTTCTTGTATTTCAGCATTGATTTAATTATCGAAAAGATTTGAACAGTTTTAACAGTTTTAGCTTTAGTGATCATCTCTAACTAATGATGTCGGCCTCTCTTGTAGGTGGCCCAGCTGTTGTTGAGCAGTAATATGGTTGCGTCTCTATTAGAGGGGGATCGGAAAGACGCTTCGGACTCGAACTGTAACACTCCTCTACATCTCGCCGCACGCAACGGACACAAGGATGTCATCTGGTGAGCTCTTGAATAACTCGTGTGTGTGTGTGTGTGTGTGTGTGTGTGGCGCATCTGTAGGCATCAGTCTCAGCTGTGTCGGGCTGTCCTGTCTCTGGAGAGCTGCATGTGTGTGTCCGCTCTGTTGTGTGTTTAATGCATTGACGCAGCATTTCATTCTTGGCTGATTTCAGTGTTAGTGCAGAAGCACAGCTGATATATTGTAAAAAGGACACTTAATAAAAAAGTCTGATGGGATGAGCCACATTCAAAACTGATATGTAAACCTGTGACCATAAGTTCAATTATTGACTGTAATTGTGTAGATTTGTGTGATTTGATCAAACACACCATCCAGACACTGTACACACACAGCAGAGGATGAGACTGGGGAAGTCAGTGCTCTGTCTGTCTCTCTGACTCACGTTCCCCCGCTAGATCGTCCCGGGGGAGAGGAGTGTCCCAGTCTCTCTAAATGTGTGTGATCATCACCTCTATGTGGGATCTGTCTGAGATGAGTGTGCTTGTGAGTGGATTAAACAATGCTTTGAGTCATCACTCATCCTGGAAGACACACAGCACTTCCTGTATCACATCAAACTCTTTAAGATGGTATCAGAGAGATTTACAGTTTTGAGAGACATCTGTGGGGGTGATTCACATGAAACACTAAAATCAAACAAAATAATAATATATTACATTGAACCAAATTAAACAAAGGCTGTTTTAGGAGCAATATGATTACATTGTAACATTATTTTCATGACAATTAAGCACATTTACCAGTAAATTCTAATGATTAATTGAGAAAACCTTCGATAAATCATAATTATGACATAAATCGTTTAAATTATGACATTAAAAAGGGAATTTTTTAGAAGCATGACTTTTTGTGTCATAATTTCAACATGACGTTTTTTTAATCTTAGAAATATGACTTTTTAAGTTATAATTCTGACTTTTTATGTCGTGAATCATGCTTTAGTAAGTCATATTTCTTTCTGGCGTGACGGAAAATGTGTCAGGATGGGCTTCCATACATTCTCATTTTGTGTTGTAAAAAAAGATTTTATAAATATTTTAAGTGTAATGTATGTATTTTATATAATATCATGGCAGTATTTATTATATTGCCCTTTATTTCTTTTAATTTAAATAAACAAAGTAATGAGACTGTAATGAAAATCACAAAAAAAAAAAAAAAAAACTGATATATTACAGTAATGACAATTTTGAAGGAAATGTGTGCTTAATTATCATGAATAATAATAACAGCACAATGGCAAAAAGTAAAAGTTTTTGACAGATTATAATTTTGACAGATTTTGTGAAATTCACTGTGACATTTGTGCAGTGTAGTTCATTAGTTTGGTTTTATTAGTTTAGTTTATGTTGACACATGGTGTGTGTGTGTGTGTGTGTGTGTGTGTGTGTGTGTGTGTGTGTGTGTGTGTGTGTGTGTGTGTGTGTGTGTGTGTGTGTGTGTGTGTGTGTGTGTGTGTGTGTGTGTGTGTGTGTGTGTGTGTGTGTGTGTGTTTTCTACGGCTGTCACGCTAACAGATCCCCCAATGCCTGGCATTCCCAGTGAAATTCCATCCAGCATTCCCACAGATGAGCGTTTCTGATTCCGCCTGATGTGTGTGTGTGTGAATTCCACAAGTCTGTGTGTGTTATAGCCCCTTCAGTGTGTAAATATAACACAGAGTGCTAAAGAGCATGTCATGTCCTCTCTTTGGAGTAGTAGTAGGTCCATTCATCCAGTTTCCACCATCTCTCTGTCTCCAGGCTTCTCCTGAAAGCGGGCATTGACATCAACAGAACCACTAAAGCTGGCACAGCGCTCCACGAGGCGGCCCTCTATGGGAAGACAGAGGTAGTGCGGCTTCTCCTGGACGTAAGTTCATCTTTTTTTCCTCAGGAATGTCTCGACTGCAGGGGTTCTTACATTCTTACATTAAGTGTTGTTTTTTCCCCAAGGGTTTTAATCACTTTGCCATATCCCCCCGAAGTGACTTTTTAATGTATTTCTGAACATTTCTTAGTAACTTCCCCTCATGTGCTTCTTTTTGAGAATATTGTTTCGAGAGAAAGAAACTCGAAAGGATGATAAATCAAGTCCCACCATAACTTTTGTTTTCACTGAATGTTTCACTTGGAAGTAAATCACATTGAAGTAGTGACTGTTTCATGTTAACTGTAAGATTTACAGGTGCAGGTTTTTAAAATGTGCATTTATATTTAAGGTTGATAACTATATCGAAATTAATATTTTATATTTATGTTTTTATTGCAATACTGTTCAAAAGTTTTGAGGTCAAAATACATTTATAATGTTACAAAAAGTTTATATTTATAAATGCTGTTCTATTGAACTTTCGTGAAAAAAAATGTATCACGGTTTCCACAAAAATATGATGTAATGAATAATAATATTATAAATGTTTCTTATAATGGCAGGCCGGGATTGATGTAAATATCCGCAACACTTACAATCAAACATCCCTGGATATCGTCAACCAGTTCACGGCGTGCCACGCCAGCAAAGACATCAAGCAGCTCTTACGAGGTGAGATGCAATCGGACAGTCAGTCGTATGCTGTTTTGTGAACTGAAGTGTGTGTGTATTTGTGTCTAACAGTGTGTATGTGCTCATACTGCATTTGAACGTGTGTGTGTGTGTTTGTCTTTGGTTTGTAAGGGGTTATGGGAGACGTTTGAGCTGCCATGTAGTAAGCAGCTGTTTAAACTCAGGATTATATAACCTGCTGATTTCTCCGGGGAGATTTGAGTGCATGAAAGAGACAAAAGACATCTCCTGTGTGTGTGTTTGTGTGCAGATGCATACCACAAATCTGTGGAAAACAGGGATTTATGAAACATAAGATGGGGCCCGCACACAACTTTACTTCATACACAAACACTTTTTTTGAAACTGCAATGCTAACGGGAGACTATGATGTTATTTGGGGGCGAATTTAGCCTTCTAAACGTATTCTCTTTATAGATATTAGGCACATTTAAGTGTTAACTGAATTTGTAATTCATGAATGCATTGGACCTATGGTCGATCTCGTTTTAAAGACTCTCAGCAGATTATTGCTGAAGTGAGAAAAAAATGTATTTTTTTAATATTATATATATATATTAGGGCTGTCAAATGATTAATCGTGATTAATCACACCCAAAATAAAAGTTTTTTTTACATAATATATGTGGGTGCACTGTGTATAATTATTTTATATATATAAATACACACACATGCTTGTATATATTTAAGAAATATTTTCATCTATATACTGAATATAGATTTATATATAATTTATATTATATATAAATATAAATATTTTATATATAAATAATATTTTTTTCTTAAATATGCATGTGTGTGTATTTATATATATACAAAATAATTATACACAGCCCTAATATATATATATATATTTGAAAAGAAATGACGACTAAAATTGCTATAAAATCAAAGCCATATATCTAACCAAGTTTTTTTACCAAATTTGAGGTTGATATCACAAAAATGTAAGTTCCTGTGAGATTTTGTTTAGGCACAATACCACAAACAGCCACTGGGGGACAAAAACATTCCACTGAATTGTTTTGATGCGTTCTCTTGTCACATATTAATACATTTCTGTCACAAAACAGTCTTTAGAAAAGATTTGATTATAAAATAGAGCAGTAAATTTTGTAATATTTGAAATTTTGAGTGTTTGAGCTTTCGAATGATGTGAGGCAAAAAAGGCTAGACACTCACAGTTGACAATTGTTTTTCACACGGAGTCACACAATTCGACACACGTGATCATCCGTATTTAAATAAGTCTGTTGTGCTTCACACAAAACGGAACAGCATTCTGTAGCTCAACACAAAGTTACAAAGTACTCAAGTTGTAAATGATTGGTCTTGAATCAGTTTTTAAATGTGCCTAAGCTTATAGATTATCACATTATATAGGCTCAATTAACGTAGTTTTCTGGTAGTGTCGGATAATTTGTTAACTGCGCATTTTAATGTTGTGATTTCAAGAAAACAAAATGGCTAATTCACAATATAATATGAATAAAAGATAATAATTGAGACAGATATTTAGTGAAAAGGATTTCAGTCGTTCCAGATGTTTAGAAGCATTCTTCGCACAAGCACATAAACACACTAACAGGCCTCAAGGGGGCGATAGTTTCCTCCAAATGTCTGTGACGTTAAATCTAATGTTATTGGTTAGGTAGTCTCAGACGGCCACGGACCGTTAGCTGAACGTCTGATGCATTAGGCACATAAAATGGGAAACACTTCAGGAGTTTCGAAGTCCTCATCTGATTGGTTGAATTTTACAGCATTTCCAGGAGACGTGTGTGTCGCGTTCTTTAACAGTCGTGACGCCAAACCCCCTCATGGAAGAAGAAAGCCGTCGTGTTTACAACTGTGACAGTAAAGTTCAACAATCGGGTCCTGGAAGTAAAAACTCGTTCATTTTCTCCATAGAGAAAATAGACTTTGAACACTAACTCATAAACCTTTAAAGAAAGTCCTACTGTGAGAGCTACGAGGTTGTTAACCAATGGCATTTGCTTCTGCTGAAGCCGTCATCCCACATCATTTCAACTTAGTTGTAAAATAATCGTGTTTAACATCGTCATTTTTGATGAAAAACTACATTACCCATGATGCTACACAGGAAATTCCACCAATCAGAAACTCTCCTTAGCTCCGCTCACTCCCATGAAGCTCTGCAACTGACGTAATCGAGTCTATCGCTCTAAATGTTAGTAATATATGTATATTTTGCAATATACTTTTTTAAAATGAGTAGTTTTACATCTCTCCATCATTTTTAACTGATGGAGAAATCTAATGCTTCATAGTATTGTAGTTCTTTCCCTCACTAAAGCCGTTTAAATCTGTCATTTTGTCCGATTTTCAAATACTTTTTTGCTTCGAATCAAATTTTACTTGCTTTTAATTAGTCTTCCCATTAGAGGCGTCATTTAGTTTGCGCAGGAAAACAAGAGGCGGGATTTATCTCATCAACCAATCATATCCAACCATAACCAATCATAGAGCGATGGAGGCAAACTCTCTCCAATATTTAAAATTTCAACTGCTAGCTTGTCAATATTACATGCTGAACCTTTAACTAGTTTCTCTTCAAACAGTTTCTCCAATCTGACCTGAAAGAGAAAACTGACCACAGAAGCAGACTAGTTTCCAGTAATGGCCAGTGCTCTTTGAGAGTTCATTGCTGGCTTGGGTTGGGTTGTGAATTGTGTACTGATAGATTTCGGACTCGAACTTCACTTCCACATCAACCAAATGAACAAGTCTAGCGTCTAACAGACTCGGCCCACACTAAAAGCTCTCGGTCTTCGTAAACACACTTGTGTCCTTGACATTAAAGTGCCTGACGTGTGATCTTGCATGTGTTCTGTAACATCTGCGGGATTTATTTTCATTTATTTATTTCGGTTTGTAGCGGTGGATATAAATAAATATTTGAAGTCGATGTTTATATGAGCCACTCATGTCTGTGCAGACAGCTTTTGTCATAATGAGCACAGAGACGGGCCCGTCTGCTCTGTGTGTGCCACATCGCTTCCCCAAACCTCAGGGTTAATTATTGATCCAGCGAGCCGTCCGTGTGTCCGTGTGTCATCAGCACATTCCTTCCGCTGGAAAGAAAAAATCACACAAATGACACGCTGAGAAGTCCAAATGGCGGGATCTCGCTAAACTATTTTTTAGGAACATTACGTTTTCTTTGCGTTTGTATTTTTATGATTGTTGAACATAAAGTCTCAAGCTGTAACAACAAGCAAAAAACATAAATAAAAGCACAAAAAATATCTATAATGGGAATATGTGCATAAAAATTAAGGAAAAGAAATACAAAGAAATGTACCTAAAAAACAAAAGTAAATAAAATATTTGTAAAATGTAAAAATAGGCTACTATACTGTATACACGTATAAAGTAAGATTCTTTTTTTCTTTGTAAATTTTATAATAATAAACTTTCATTTTAAAATTGAAATTGAACATTTGAAAATGAAAAATTGGGAAAGAATGTGCATTTTATGATTATTAAACAGAAATTCTCATTAAGGAAAGCAGTAAAAACTAGTAAAAACATGAATGAAAGCAATATATATATAATGTAAATGTAATTGGAAATATAGTGGGAAATGTGCTTTAATACATATAATGTACCTAAACGTAAGCTTTCTTAAATTTTAAAATAAAATATTTAAATATATAAAATATTTATATCAAATTTAAACATTCCACACACACATTCTTATTTATTCAAATTTTCGACTGAGATATATGTCATAGCATTTTATATAGTGATAAAAAGCTTTTTTTCTTTGTAAATTTTTAAATATTACACTTTTATACTTTCAAAATTCTAAATATAAATTTTTATATAATAAATAGTGTATTTGAAAATTAAAATTTAGGGAGGAATGTTTTAAATAAAAAAAAGTAATGCTAGGAATGCAGAAAAATATAATGGACCCATGCTTGTCATTTTTATTAGTAATACATATATATGAAATACTGTTATGTATATGTGTGTATAATTTTTTTATTCTTCCTTTTGATTTTGGTCTGGATGAGTTTCATTAGACTCAGCGATGTAGTGTAATGTTTGTGGTATCGTCCAGTGTCTGAACTCTCTGAACTATGTGAACTTGTGGTGTTTTGTTGTATCAACACAGATGTGTGTGTGTGTGTGTGTGTGTGTGTGTGTTTTCAGAAGCTACCGGAGTTCTTCAGGTCCGAGCTCTGAAAGACTTCTGGAACCTACACGACCCCACGGCCCTCACCATACGCGCCGGCGACGTCATCACGGTACGGCCGCTCACGTGACTTCATTAAACATTTGCCGTGTCCGAAATCGACCCCTATACCCTTAAATAGGGCACTATTTGAGGGGACAGCCATTTGTTGTGGTGTCCGAAACCATAGTGCACACATTCAATCCCACAATGCACCTCAATAACGAGTGTACAACCGATGTACGCTCAATGGCTAGAGAATACCCATAATGCACTGTGAGAGTCGAGTCGAGTCCAGCGTGATATCATACAGGTATAAATTCCTTCTTAGTTTGTTATTAAATTGTTTAATTAAAGTTAGTTTCCATGTAAGAGTGCAAGATAAATCTTTTCATTTGCGGACAGTTTTCCTGTTTCAAATGATTATTATTAACAGCAAAGCACAAACGATGCCAAAGTGTCCGAATTCGTTCACTCGTTTTCTTTCACTCCCTCAAGTGAACTATATTAGTGGAGTAATATAGGGAATAGTGAATGATGGTATAGGGGGGCGATTTCCAACACAGCAAATATGTGTGTGTTTTTATTAGACTTTTATTAGACGATTCTGGATACATTGAGAATCATGATTTTTTTTTTTTTTTTTTTTTTTTTTTTACCGAGATCACGATTCTCCCATTATTCTGAACAGACAACTAAACAAAAAACATTTAATTTATTAGAGGCTCTGACAAAATGTTAATTGCTGCAGTCTATTTAAAAATATTTAATCAACTTGAATTAATCACTTGTTTCATCACTCGATGAATCAGCGTTTCTGAACGAACCGCTTGAACGAGTGATTCAATGACAAATACATATTTAACAGTCACTTGTCGCCACCTACTGGCTTAACGATGTAATTGACACAGTCTTTATTTGACACACCAAGTTACTTTCAAAGATGCTTACTCTATTTTGATCAGTGTTTATATCCGGACTATAAACTTTTACCCCAGTACTTGAGTGATCATTTGAGTTATTGTAAGACAGAAATAATGATCGTACTTCTCAAAGCTTTAACAGACATATGCTGAATCATTTTCATTCAGGAATAAGGTCGCGTTGGTGTTTAAAACGAGATCAATGTTTGCTTGTCTTAAAAGGATACTCCATTTTTTTTGGAAATAGGCTTATTTTTCAACTCCCCCAGAGTTAAACTGTTGAGTTTTACCGTTTTTGAATCCATTCAGCCGATCTCCGGTTCTGGCGGTACCACTTTTAGCATAGCTTAGCATACATCATTGAAGTGGACAAGACCATTAGCATTTCTAAAAAAAAAAAAATGACCAAAGAAAATCGCAACATTACATTTTCCGTCGGTCTTAGTGCACGATGTAACTACAGAAGAGTCAAGGTTTAAATAGGAAAAATATCGAAACTCTTGTCATTTTTTTTTTGAGAAATGCTAATGGTCTTGTCCACTTCAATGATGTATGCTAAGCTATGCTAAAAGTGGTACCGCCAGAACCGGAGATCGGCTGAATGGATTCAAAAACGGTAAAACTCAACAGTTTAACTCTGGGGGAGTTGTAAAAGGAGCCTATTTCCAAAAAAAGTGGAGTATCCCTTTAAGTGCTATAGCAAACCCCTGTGTTTCCTGTTGAACTGGCAGTTTCTGACTTGAACTTGAACCAGATTTCTCTCTCTCTTTCTCCTTCCACCGAGTTTTAATGGCTCTTTCTGTTCCATCGCCTTGGTCTTTAAAACGCGCTAAAGATAAACTCACAAGTGTTTATTTGTGAACTCGAAAAAAGGCAGATTTCCACACAGCATTGTTTCCCAGGAAAGGGTGGGCAGAACATAAGAAGGGGCGATTGCTGGAGGGTTTGGAGGTGTATTTCGTGAGCTGCTGTAATGTTGCAGCTATTGTATGCTTGCAAGTGTTTACTTAGGGTGGGAGGCTGGGGTCATGTTATCTAACCTTCAAAAGCTTTCAGATCACGCATTGTCTCTGAACTCCCGACCTCTGTTTTGACTGGTTGTCAAGGACGTGAAAAACTGCTGGATTAGAAATGGGATGAGGTCAATGTGTTATGATTGGCAGGTGATAGAACAGCATGTGGACGGACGCTGGAAGGGCCACATTCATGACACCCAGAGAGGAACGGACCGAATCGGCTACTTCCCCCCCTCCATTGTGGAGGTCATCAGCCGACGCTCAGGTACAAATCATAACCTGAATTCTGATTGGTTGTTCTTCTTAACTCTCACTTTTGGAGCCTCACAGCCTGTGGTCACTATATTTTTTCATTTTAGGGATTTTATTACAGCCATTAACCCCACAAATAACAGCGTTTGCTCTCCTGAATCAATAACATGCTGACTTCTACAACCTAGGCGTGTCTCTTTCTTCCATCCCACTGCTTCCCATGTAATAAATGGCTGCGTCCGAGAGCTGAAAAACACAGGCGGCATACGGAAGTAGAAAGGCACTTGCTAGAAGGCACGTCCATATCCAATGATCGTGTCACATCCTGTTTTTTTTAAAGACCGCACAGATTATTGAGAAAAAATATTGAGAAATTAATATTGCAGTAATTAAAGGTGCAGTGTGTAGATTTTAGCGGCATCTAGCGGTTCGGATGCGAATTGCAACCAACGGCTCAGCCCACCGCTCACCCCTCCCAATCGAAGAAGCTACGGTGGCCAAAACAGGACAAACATGTCGTCGTCTGAGACAGCAGAGAGCAGCCGGTCAACCGACGAGGTTTCTTTACAAAGATAAAATAAGAAATTATATTTACTTAATTATTCAGTAAAACGATATGTTATTGCGAATATTATTGTTGCGATGAAACGTTTGCAATAGGCATTTACCCTTTGAGTTACCAAGTTACACCTTTGTGTGCACAGAAGCGAAGCAATACCAATAAATAAGTTGCACTTTATTTATGCAAATTCTGAAAGTAAGCATTAATGGTCACTTGATTGGTACACGGTCCTGTTACATTAAAATTACAATCCAATTACATATTTTTCAACATTGACAAGGGAAAAACCTTACTTCTCGCGGTGATTATGCCCAATTTTGTAGCTAAAGAAACCAGTTTTCACTTAACGTTACATTGCTAATGTTGGGCTAACTTACCTGTCCAGCAGAAAACAGGCAACTTCGCCATCGTTTCAAAACAAAATTTCCTGCAAAAATGTTCTTACCATCCGGAAAAAGCCATACCGATGTTAATCCGGGATGTCTGCCGCCGTCTGACCCGACTTCATCTGGCTGCATCATGTTTTCTTTTTTTTGCCTACACGATTGACGCAAAATTATATGTGTGGTCCTCCATTTGTTCAAATTTCACTGCTAACGTTACTATTACTACTTCTTCTTCGTGCATATTCACTTAGTGACAGTGCAAGTTGCCTCTAAAAACACCAATAAGAAGAAGAAAAACAGCAGAGTTACGAAACGCGCTCTGTAGAGAAGTTTGTCCCTTTAGGGCTACTGTAGAAACATGGCGGCGCAAAATGGCGGCTTAACGTGTCAGGGGACCCGCGGTGTATGTAGATAGATAATAAATAGATAGATAGATAACAGATAGATAGATAGAAGGTAATGAAAACAAAACGGTTCATTTTATAAGGTCTTCATACACCACTCAAAACATAGTTATTATAATGCATTTCTGACAACATACATTTTACACACTGCACCTTTAAATCTTCGCTTTATCACCAAAGCTCGCTCTGTTTATCTGTCGATTATTAAACCATTATGCTTGCTCAGTCTGTCCGAAATGAGGTACCTTCGTGCGCAAACGCCGCCTTCAAGGTCATCGCCTGATCAGTCGGACGCAGCCAGTGTTCATCTCTAACCTCCATCCGCTTGCATTAACCCTCTGCTCCTGTCATGTGTGTGTGTTGTCCTGTAGGGGGCACCCTGTTACGACACGCCTCTCTGCCCTCCCAGAGGCAGCAGCTGCTCTCCAGGTCCGCCCTCAGTCCCAGCGTGAGTCTGAGCGGGGGCGGGACCCTTCAGACCGACGACTCCTACAGTCCGTACACCCCTAACCCACACCTGGTCCTCCCCCACACCAACGGTCTGAGCACCAACCCAGGTATAGCACTCGCACCCACCTCGAAGGGTGCCTTCTCACCAACGCCCCCTTTCCACCCCGCATTAAGACGCGTTTTCAGCGATCCGATCGCTAGTGGTGAGCTGAGACACACACTGTTTCCACCTGGTATTAATACGCAATTCAAATGCTTCTCCTGTGGCCATTTGTGTTCGTATTTCATTGAGACACTCTCCTCTTATTCTGCCACAGTCTGCGCGAGTGCCACATGCGTCATATTGAATACTATCGACTCGATGATCATTTGTGGCTGTTCATTTGACTACATGGGTGGCTAAACTACAGAAGCAAAAGTACACTTTTTTATTTAATTTAATTAAATTTTTTACTTATATAAACGGTTTATATATTAAATAACAAAGTGGCGAGGCTTTTTTCTTTAATAATCCAGTTAATCTGAGGCTATTTTTTTGTTTTGTATTCATTGTTTGTTTCAACATGCTTTAATAATGCTAAAAAAAAAAACATTCTTTTGCAGTACCTCTATTCCCAGTCTTTATTTTTTTATAAATCTTAACCAGCACTTTAAATTTCATCCATTTCCATTGCTTTTGCATTAAAACACAGTTCACTGAAGCATCACCTTCTTTCTTTGCGTATGCCTTTTGGTGGAAATTATGCTAATATTTCACATTGTGACACAATTTGAGGAATATATGAACTTGAATAAATAGTTCAAATATTCATAATTAATATCTGAACTTCGATCTGAATCAGTTTTCTCTGACTATCCTTTAGTATGAGCTTTGTAACTGCACAAACAGATACATTATACACTAAAGGAAAACACTAAAATGCATCATATGCATCATCTCCTTCTCATTTTAATATGTAAAACTTGAAGGATACAAACACAAGGATGTTTCATAATTAATTAATGACAGTCTCACATTATGTAACACTTGAGTTAAAAACAAAAGGCTCAAAACAGTACAACTAAAGCAGATAGTTCTTCTGACTCTAAATTCTGATTGGACAAGCCACATACTAAGCTGTAAAATGGCCGATATACGCATACCTTTGAATGCTATATTTATCATGCAGGTTGCGGTGTTGCCCACACATCTTGTATTTCCCATTGCTCTCACTTATAAATAGGAGAAACTCCTGAAAAGTCCTGCCCTACTAAAAGCAACACAAAAATATCTACAGCAATATATATGGTGTATCAAAATACGTATAACATTGCACTGCAAAACCAGTCATCACAAGTCGCACGGGTATAACTGTGGCAATAGCCAATGATACATTGTATGGGTCAAAATTATAGATTTTTCTTTTATGCCGAAAATCATTAGGATATTAAGTAAAGATCATGTTCCATGAAGATATTTAGAAATTCCCTACCGTAAATGTATATAAAAAAATATTTTTGTTAGTGAATGCAGCACAATCGCGAACATAAATGGACAACTTTAAAAGGGATTTTCTCAATGTTTCGATTTTTTTGCACCCTCAGATTGCAGATATATTTAATAGTTGTATCTCGGCCAAATATTGTCCTATCCCAACAAACCATACATCAATGGAAACCTCCGTGTGATGTATACATCTCAATTTAAAACCCTTGTTGTTTGGTAAGACCCTTGTGACTGGTTTTGTGGTCCAGTGTCACATATGTATAGCCAGTAAGTGTTCTCCATTTGTTGGGCAGTTGAGTCAAACGCCTGGTTTTGGACCCCGTGGTTCTTCTGCACGACTGATATAGTACAAACACCATCTTTGCATATAAACACTATACAGTGGCACACACTCATCTGAAGGCCCTGATTTGGGATGCACACCCACATTACCCTCCCCCACTAGACTGAGGTCAGTGGCCCAAAAAAAAGTGTTTGTGTCCGCTAGGTGGGCCTCCCGGCGGTCTGTCCCAGCACATAAGCCCCAGCATGGAGGACGTGTGGGTTTTGCGGAACTCCTGCGCTGGTAAGAACCGCTGCACTCCCCTTTCGCTGAAACGCTCCTCCCCTGCGCCCCCTACTGGCTGACACCCCCTCCCTGCTACAGACAGACCCCCTGATTGGCTGCCCTGTCGGACGCCACACAAACCCAGCTGGCGTGTCCGTCTGTCCAGATGCCAATTCCCTGTTAGCGTTCTGTGATCCCTCCCGCTCCCGTAGCAGACCGTAGGTTGTGTGCTGTCGTCTGTAAACCCCATCACCACATGCCTGTGGCTTTGCCCTGCTCCCCCCACCCCACCCTGCCTGCTGCTTCAGTAGAGATCCAGTGGGTACGGTGTCCTCACGGCTGTGGAGTGGCACTCCGGCATGGCAGTGCAGACGGCCGCTGTGATGCCATGGCCGCGGGCATGCTATGATTGCAGTTACTCATTGGACTAATGCCTCCGTCTCTCTCTCTCTCTCTCTCTCTCTCTCTCTCTCTCTCTCTCTCTCTCTCTCTCTCTCTCTCGATTTCGCAGCGGGGGACAGGAACAGTGTGGGCAGCACTGGCAGTGTGGGCAGCACCCGCAGTGCGGGCAGTGGCCAGAGCACAGAAAGCAACAGCGCCCCCAACGGACCCCAGCAACACCAACACGTCACCAACCCTGACACCAGCAAGGTAACCAACCATGATGCTTTAAGAGAAAGACAACCCTGAGGCTGAATCCGAAATCGCCCCCTATACCCTCATATAGGGATTTATTCGAGGGGACATCCATTTGTAGTGGTGCCTGAAACCATAGTGGACATTATCGATCAATCCCACAATTCAACGCATTAGCGAGTGTACTTCCAATGTATGGTCAACGACCATCCGAATTCGCTCCCTCGTTTTCATTCACTCTTTCAAGCGAACTGTATTAGTGGACTAATTTAGGGAATAGGGATTTAGGGTTTAGGGATTTTGGATTCAGCCTAAGGCCTGGGACACACTGGCTGCGTGGCGTAAGCGTCTCAGCTGCGTGGCGTGTCCGTTTTTATTTCGGCTCCCATGTTAACAGGTTAGAGCTTGCAGACTGCCTGCGTGATACGCGCGTCTGGAAAACGCGCGAATGCTAGAAATATTTTTCACGCGACACGCAAGTGTGTTGGAAGCGTTTCCAGGCAAAATTGAATAGGAAAATGTGTTTATATGTTATTTTGTACACGAATAAATATTAATAAATTACATTTTGATGGTTGAAAGTCTAGGTTTTGACATAAATTCAGATATACACTACCGTTCAAAAGTTTGGGGTCAGTGAGAATTTTATTTTTATTTTTTGGAGGAAAGAAATCAATACTTTTATTTATCAAGGACAGTAAAGACATTTATAATGTTGCAAAAGATTCTATTTCAAACAAATGCTGTTCTTTTGAACTTCCTATTCATCAAAGAATCCTAAAAAAAAAAAAAACTGTACAACTGACAGACCAACAACTGTTTCAACATTGATAATAATAATAAATGTTTCTTGAGCATCAAATCCTCATATTATACTGATTTGTGAAGGATCATTTGACACTGAAGACACTGACACTGGTGATGCTGAAAATTCAGCTTTGATCACAGGAATAAATTACACTTTACTATATATTCACACAGAAAACAGCTGATTTACACTGGAATAATATTTAATACTATAACTGATTTTTGTTGTATTTTTAATCAAATAAGCGCAGCCATGGTTAGCAGAAGAGAATTCTTTTAAAAGTATTTAAAATCGTACCGACCCCAAACTTTTGAACGGTAGTGTACATATAATTTAAAAATAAATAATGATCAATTTTCAAATATTGCACCTGTCAATACAGAATGAAATATTCTGTAGTCTATTTTGCTGTCAATACTGCTGACGGTGTCTTTATCAGTAGGCTTTATATTTATGCTTAACATGAAGTATAGGGCTTCCACAATACGTCCTCCCTGTACATCACCTAGCAGCAGCAGCGCTGCGTCAGACACGCTTCTGGTGTGCAAAGACACAGAAAACGCCACGCTCACGCCACGCAGCCAGTGTGTCCCAGGCCTAAGAGTATTCAGTCATGATCTAAGGATCTATAAGAGGTGATAATGAAATTTGTGAAATGAAATGTGAATGTGATAATGAATGATCATCTCAAAGTGCTAATGTTGCTTTTTTAGCAGGTAAAATGTTTTGTTCCAGTACAAAGAATCAGTTTTTTTTTTGTTTTTTTTACACATAACTATAATGAAATTCCAAAGTCGGCACATCACAGCTCCAAAAATACATCCGTTTTGTTAAATTCCCACTTTGAAAGGTTTTGGAAGCCATGACTCTTCTTCACAGCGTAATGAACATGAAAAGCAACTCTTATTATGCTCAATTAAAAACACATGGCACAAATTAACCAGTGACCACCCTTGTACTTTCACACCGGACATCCAGTAATCACAAATGGTTGAAAAGTTTGTGGAAAATCATTGGTTAAAAATTTTGGGAAATCTAAAAGTAAAAATTGCTACTGGCTATGAAAGCACTACAGTCCTGTCATTAGAGTAATTATAATTCCTGTTATTTTCTGTTAACAAACCCTTTTAGTTTCAATGCTTGTTGTTTATATGTGTTTGATAGCTTGATAGATTTTTTTTTTTTTTTACATTTTCTCTCATTTTACGTAGGCGGCGCCCTCTGCTGTGGATTTACTACAGCCAGACCAAAACAAACATCCTGACGCATCCGCAGGTAATGAGCTGTGACATGTTTACTGTGTGCATCTGTATACAGTTTACGTCTTACTTGTCTACTTGCATGATGTATTTCCTCTATTTGGCCCAAGTGTTCAAGTAGGCGTAAAGACTGCAAGTGTGCGTAGAACTTTTGATTACTTGATGGGACACACTTGTAGTCTTGCAAAAAATGCAAGTGTTTACAGAGCTCTTATTTATTATATTTTCAATACTTTGCATTTTAAAATAACCTTCTACGTGTCTGTTCAGTTGGCGCTTTGCAACTAACAGAAGACACAAATGTAAAATTGTGGTGCTTCTAATTAAGTGATAAAAAAATAGTTGCAAATGTTGTACAAAATAGGCCCACACTTACCATACTCATCTTTGCACCAATAAAATGTGCAACACTTTATGTTTTTACAACCAAATTATATGCATCTAATTAATTTAATTTCCAGTGGAATGTTTTCCTTGACATCTCGCGATTTCAGGGCACATGAGTTCCCGAACATAATGCATGATGGTATACGCTTAGCCTCTTACGCTTAGAGATGGTGTGGGTTTAGTGTGCATTAAGAGCACTGCACTTTTGGCATTTTTAAGACATGGGACAGTCTTGCGAACTTACTTCCTGTCGCGTGCACCACGCACTTTCAAGTGGCCAAGACCGCAAGTGTGGGTATTTGGACACTTAGCCATATTCGCACGGGACTAAATTAAATGAATGCATGCGAAACATTGGTGCACAAACCAAACCACTTCTTGGTAGCTCAGGTAGGTCAAAAAACACATGAGGAGTAGCGTTAGCATAATGCTGGATTACGCCATGCCGTAATTACTGTAATTTCGAGATGACAGCATGTGATTTAGTACTCTGAGCTAGTCACGTCATTTGTTGTCATTTGACTGGGAATTATGCATTTCTATGGCAACACTATCAGCTGGTACAGAGGTCACATGGTACAAGTAGGAGCTCTCCGAAAATTCCCAACTTACAAGTTGTAATACGAGTTCTACAAGGACGTGAGTGCTTTTTACAAGTAGAGGTCCTGTAATTACTGTAATTACGGCATGGCGTGCACCTTAATTCAATATAGGCAATCACAGACATTCGCATTCTTACTGGATTCAATTTCTCAGAGGACCGTTGAGTTGGCGAAAAACAGTAATTTGGTAACTCTAAAAAACATTTAAAAACTCTCCAGCTGATTAAAAGACATTGAAAATGCTGTTTGGTAAATCCGTGTGCATATATTAGCGTGAGCATGTGTGTTGTTTTTGAAGGAGTTCCTCGCAGACCTGTGCTGCCCACACAGAGGCCAGGAGAGCAGGGTTTCTCTCAACAGTTTGTGCGTCCTCATCAGCTGCTAGAGGGAAAGGTCAGAAAACACCATTACAGTGCACAACACCAACCTGAACATATAGCAAATTACCAGTGGAACTACAGCTTGCTCTGCAATTGGTTTTGATTAAAAGTTTCTCCTTTTTAAAAGTCTCTTCTGCATCATGTTTGCTCTCCTGACTTCATGTCATGTCTTTATCACTGTCAGGACGCAGAGGCTATATATCAGTGGCTGAGTGAGTTTCAGTTGGAGCAGTACACTACAAACTTCCTCAACGCTGGCTATGATGTGCCTACAATCAGCAGAATGACCCCAGAGGTACGATCAGAGCGCCAGTTGCTTTGAAGAGATACGCCGTTCAGTCTCATTGGCGTAGGTAGGGTTGATGTTGATTGAGTATTATGCCTATTTTTCAGGATCTCACTGCTATTGGTGTGACTAAACCAGGCCACCGTAAGAAGATTTCCCTGGAGATCGGCAACCTCAGCATTCCAGAATGGCTCCCAGAGTACATACCAGTAAGTCACCGTATAGCTTGAATGTCTATGGCGTTGTCTTCAGTTCACTCACAGTCAAATCTCTTCTCTTAGCAGGATCTTGGAGAGTGGCTGAGTGCCATAGGCCTGCCTCAGTATCATAAGAAACTCTCGGAGAACGGCTATGACTCGATAAACATTGTCCGAGATCTCACGTGGGAAGATTTACAGGAGATTGGTATCACTAAACTAGGTGAGCTTAAACTTAAACACAGAACTTAAGTGCATTGTGTAGTTATATACAGGGTTGGCAAAGTCAAAGAATAACAGGGAATGTTAAAATTGTGTTGTTGAGCTGTTTTAAATAATTAATTTGTTAAATACAGCTCAAATTGTGTTGAACAAAACCTGATTTTAAACTAAAGCAATGTCCAATTTGTTTACAAATGACTCTTTTGAGTCAGTTCTTTTCATTGAGTAGGTCGAACTTGTTCACACTGGTTCGGATGATTATTATGGTCAGAATTTGAATTGTGAATTTGATTTTTTTTTAAAACCATTATCCCATGGTCATAAACGATTGTCCATTAAAAATAGCTGGAAATACATGGGTCAAAAAGTGTGGGAACCCTGCAAATACTTCAACCTCCATATATGTTAAAATTGTGTATGTATATATATATATATATACAGTGTATATGTACCAGTCGTAGCTGCTGGGTAGCTTTTCCTGTTTTTGTTCTTACCTTGACCAGGTCATTTTCAAGTCAAAATGTCTAGTTTAAGGTTTCACTTGGTTTCTATTCCTGCAGCAACATGCTATGTTGACCCGTACACATTTTAATCCGATTGATCCAGTTTCATATGACTGATGATCCAGCATCAAATATGCCCTGAGATTGTATAGGGTCACACAGCATTCTCACCTTTGATGTGGACAGATTACTTGTTAAGCGAAAAAGTTGTTATGTCATGCCTGCTAAGGACATAGTGTGAGTTAAATATATATCCTGTGAAGTATATCCTGTTGCGTTAAAGGTACAATATGCAGGATTTTTGCAGTAAAATATCCAAAAACCACTAGGCCAATGTTATATATTTTGTTTAGTTGATTAATTACAATATCCCAAATGTTTCCAACTATTTGTAAATGGTGAGAAAATTGCGATTTTAACCAAGGAAACGGGGCGTGTGAGCAGGGGTGAGGAGTCGCCAGTCAATGGCGTCATATCCGCGTTACCCTCGGTTTCCGCCAGGTTTGACCTCGTACTGCAATAGTAACCATGGCGACAGAAGTTGACAACTGGGTTATGCCTAGAAGGACGCTCACGCTGTTGTTGTTTCGTTCAAACATTATGGACCATGGCAAGCAGACTTTGAGACAAAAAGAGGACTAGAACGAAGATCAACATCTTTCGAGATGCCGAGAGCTCCACGTCCGCGACTAACTTTGACTTGACAGAGATTCGCAGAGTGTTGCATGTTACTTTATTAGACAGGTGAGCAAATGTACATAAAACTAATCAATGTTATTTAGTTCAATATTATGAAATGTTAGAATTAGGGTTGGGTACCGAAACTCGGTGCCAATTGGGAACCGGTTCCGACGTAAACGGTAGTAACCAGACCGAATAAGAACGACAATTTCGGTGCCTGACGTAATTAGGCACACACGCACAGTCTCTTCTGTCTCACATGCGCGCTCTTGCTCGCAAGGTTTGGCTGCATTTCACGTGTAAAATTACGCGTCAGAACGCCCTCTGGGTGTGCCGATAGTCTGAATCCATATAGAATCAAGCCAATCCATTGGCTGATGGCGCGGGCGCCGCCTCGACGCACTTATGTCGTCATATTATGTTGGCGCGCGCGCCATCTGCTCCTCAGATTTCTTTGCCGAAAAAGGAGGAAGCTGGTCGGCAGCGCAAGGAGCTTGGCAGCGTCTCGTTCCCTATTGAGAGATATGTTACACCAGTAACCAGAGATGTTCTCTTTCAAAGGTTCACTCAACGCTGCGTAGCTAAGAAGCAGTGGATTTGTAGGCTGCTGTATCACGTGCCGTTTGAACTGACGCGCTTCAGCGATCTGTCACATTTCAAAGAGCCAAAACGTTATTTATTGTGTGAATCTCGTAAAAATATTGACAGAATCTGACAGCTGTGGATTTGTTCCATATCAAAAGTAACCTTGTCTGTCGGTGTAAGTGTCCTCTTTGTCCGCGATTTTTCTCTGCGTGAGAAAATGGATGTGTGGCGTGCGTGAGAGCGTGGTTAAAAGGGTCAATTGCGTGAGTCTCACGGTCAATGCGTGAGAGTTGGCAGCTCTGCCTGCTAGTAATCTCTATTAATCTCCAGTATTATTACATTGTTTGATACAATATTGTTTTATTTGATATTATGTAAATGTGAATTTTTATTTTATATTGGTTTTATTATTATTTGTATTATATTGTTTAAAGATTTAAGTTAATATTGTGTCCAGTTTGGCCCTGTAAATAAAAGGGTATTATTTTTTGATAAAGTGTGTGCGGTTTCGTTTTCTTAAGTACCGCTTCAAGAACCGTTTAGGCACCGGAACAGTTTAAAAAGTACCGAGTAGGTACTGGTATCGGATAAAACCCAACCGATACCCAACCCTAGTTAGAATATGATCTGTATGTTATTCTAATGTTGATCTAGCTCACTGCTAGTCTCATACAGCCAACAAACAACCTAACTAACAACATTCAACACACTCAAATGCCGTTTAGTGTGATAGTGTAACTGTTAGAGCTAGTGAAACACCGCTGCGTTACCTCAAGTTTAATTCGTCTAATAAATTGACCTTTGTGAGTATTAATTCAGCACTTGCGTGTAGTTCGGTAGAATGAAATGTCCTGTTCCTTTATATCCGCGGGCTTGCGTGTGGCGCTGGTACGTCTAGCAATCGCGCCCTGCTTCATACCACAGTCATGTTAAAAACATCAATGTATTCACTCATCCATAAAAGATCCATCAGCTTGACGACAAGATCCATAATTCCGCTTAATGCGGAATATACGTCATTAATATACGCCTTTGTTATTGTAAGAGGTTAGCGACCCCTCGTGGCGGAAAATCCTGCATATTGTACCTTTAAGTTCATGTGTGACATCTACAGTAAATGTGTGTCTCTAACAGGCCATCAGAAGAAGATGATGCTTGCGGTGAAGAAGTTGTGTGATGTTCAAAAGGCTCTTCTGCAGGCAGAATCAGGGCATGGCACTCTGCGGCGCAAAACCCCTGCTGCCCTGGACCTGGTCACTATCGAGCCGCCCCCTGAGAGTTTCGACCTCCCCTCACCCCACACGCCCAAGATGATGACTTTCCAGGACAGTGAGCTGAGCACTGAGCTACAGAGTGCCATGTCCTCCCAGTACAGTGGCTGTCAGGAAGGACTGGCCATCAAGAATGCAGTAGGCATGTCCTCCAGTCAGGAGAGCATTGACACACGCTCTCGAGGCTCCGGCCGCTCTCAGGAGCCCCCCAGCACTCCCTCCTCCACTTCAGGAGCGACCCCTTACAGCCGGTCCCGAGAGAGTCTATCGAGCCCAGACAGCAGTCCTGGTAAAGAGCGCAACATTCCAGAAGGCCGTGACCAGGTCCCACGTCCTCAGCTACCACAGCAGCTGCCGTTCAGTGCTTCTGCAGGCTTTAAATACCCAGCGGTGCCTGCCAAACCCAAACTGGGCTCTGCTCCTTCTCCGCAAGGTTCTCCTGCTCATAAAACCCTCAATTATCCCCGTGTACTATATAACAGTGCCACGCTCGACCGTCGCTCTCCTAGCGTGGCCAAGAAGCGCACACAGAGCCTGTCCCGGTATGCTTTGTCGGATGGTGAACCAGATGAAGAGGATGATGATGAAGCAGCTCAGCTAGCCAGCATAGCCATGCCTTCATACGCCACACTGAGCCGCAAGCTTACCCGGGGCCAGCTGGCACGTCTTCAGTCTGCCCCTGAGCAGTCTGTCGGCCGAAGCCACTCTTTCGCCATTAGGGCTCGACGTAAAGGACCTCCTCCGCCGCCACCTAAGCGCCTTAGCTCCGTCAGCAACAGCAGCACTAGTGTCGAAACTGTCTCGGACACTCCTGCGCCAGCTTCTGGAGGAGTCGAGAGCGGCAGACCTGGGAGTGTAAAGAGCATCACAGCTGCATTAGAAACAGTCCTACCTGTGCCTACGGTGGAGCTCCTTCAGGAAACCACGACCACCAACGAAGAGTCCAAGCGCAGACCTCTGAGTCAGAGTGAATCCAGCCAGGTAGCAGCCAAAGCAGATACTGATAGAGCAACAAAGTCTGACTCAGAGGAAGATGATGGGACGAAGGATTCTGGCCTGGAGAGCTCATCCTCGCCCCAGAACAGCTCCAGTGAGTGCATCCCCTTTGCGGAGGAAGGCAACCTCACCATCAAACAGAGGCCCAAAGTTGGCGGGCCACTCAAGGTGGAGAGCACTTCTGAGTCTCCAGAGAAAGCCAAACCAGCCAAAACCCCTGAAGTCCCAGAGTTCAACTTGAAAGAGTCAGACACAGTGAAGAGACGGCAGAAGCCAAAGGAGAAAGAGCAGCCAAACACAGCGTCCGACAGCAGTGCAGATGGCACACCTGTTTTAGAGACTCAGGACACAGTGAAGCTCTGCATTTCTGAAACAGATATGAGTCTGCCATGTGTGAATCTTCCAGCCAAACCAGTGAAAGCACCTCCACCTCTTGCCCCTAAACCTCCCAGCCCCCTGAATCCAACACGGCACACCTCTAAACCCCATCCTGCTCCTGTAACAGGTACAGCCTACAGATACAAATAAAGTCAGCTGGCTCGATATCGCTGTTACATGGCGATAACTTGCTAAAATTCATTGACCTCAAACCTCATATTTTAGATTCCTTGTTTGTTCGCTAGATTTAGCAAATAGGTCCATCTAAACGGTTAGATTTATTAGTTGTTCCCTGAAGTCCTTGACAGAAGCTCTGCCCCAATTCAGAGGCTGCATCCTTCGAAGGACACAGACTTCAAAGTCCACGAAGGTCGAACCGAGCATTGTTTAATGGGACGGTCCAGCCCAGGGTTCCTACCTTGCAGAGTTTAGTTCCAACCCTAATCAGAGACACCTAAACAAGCTTATAAAAGGTCTTCAGAGTCACAGTTAGGGGAGTTTGATCAGGATTTGAGCAGCGGCCCTCCAGAGCCAGATTTGAGGAAGCCTATGGAGCATTGCTCTTGTTGCCTAGCGGTTGTAAAGTTTGTACTGGACTGGTCTGAAAACAAAACAGGGTTCACAACATTCGAAGGAGCCTTTGAATTGGGACAGCCTTCATCGCCCCGCTGTGACACATTCGGGCTTCGGGAATGCAGCCTTCGAGGGATGCAGCCTCTGAATTGGGACGCAGCTAAATACTGTTCTGATTTTATAAATGGTTAAAGCTATTCGTAGCAACCCTTTGCTAGTAAGTTACAGTATATGGATTGTGATTCTTGTTCTGTCTGCAGCTGTCGGCTCCAGTGTGACTCTCAGTGTTGTACAGAGTGTTGCCTTTGCAGCACCCCAGTCTCCAGTGCTGTACTCCCCCTCAGCAGAGAACACGGGTCACAGTGTGACATCAGGAAGGCCCCAGGCTCTGGTGGAAAATGGTCAAGGCTCAACACTGAAGCATCAGAGGCTGGAGAAGACCAGCTCATCCCTTGAGGAAGCACTAAAAGCTGTGGAGAGAAAACTCACTCTTGAGAACAACAATGTGGGGTGAGAGACACTTTCCACCAGCTTTCACACAAATATGATGGGGGGGATGAAACTATTCCCTTCATGTTTTTTAAATTTTCCTTTAATTGTTACTAATGTATCACTCCTAAATCACTCCTAATTAAACATTATGTTGCGTCTCTTTTAGCACTTCTCACATAGTGAAGTCTACAGGGAACATTCTGGATGACATTGGGAACATGTTTGATGACCTTGCTGATCAGTTGGATGCTATGCTGGATTAAAAATTCTCCTGGATTTGGCCGTTTGGGGGTTGTTTTGTGCTGGCCCAGGAGGGTAGAGATCTACCTATAGAAGCATGGGTTCTTCTTCCTTATATTTCAGATGGAGAGCAGAGAAAAACTCTTGAACACAAAAGTGGGAACCTCCATTTGCAAAGACCACACAGACATTTTTGGACCAGTCTCCTGACTAATGTCAGTCTAAGTGTCATTTGTAGTTGTTTGTTTATATTCCATTTTCTAATCAACCAGCGTATATATATGTTTTTGTGTTTTTCATTTTGTCCTGTCATTTGTTGTTGTTTTTGGGGCTGAACCATGGACTTGACTAAGTGTGACCCCAATGGACTTTATATGATGGACCCAGATAGAAGAAATGCAAAGGAGAATCATTCCTAAAGCAATATACATTTCAAAACACTACACTGATTCAAAACATTTCTAGAAAGTTTAAAGGGACAGTTCACCCAAAAAGTGACAATTCTGTCATCATTTACTTGCCCTGATGCTGATCCAAACCTGTATTGTCTTTTTTTCGGTCTGTGTAACACAATAGCATAACGCTTTGAATAAATTTTACGCTGCCTTTCCATACAGTAACATGCCATCAAGACAAAAATACAGATTTTTTTATTTTATTTTTTTGAGTGAACTGTTCCTTTAATATAACTACATTTCAAAACATTTCACCTCTAAAAAGTATCTGGTTTTGTAAGGAGCACAGGTGACTTTTATCCATTTCAGCAAGTAAAGCAGGTATCCATTTCCATGGAATTTTTGGTGCTTGTATCTTATTTTTTTCTTAATGAAATTGCAAGATTTGCAGGTTAAAATACATGACTGACATTTATTTTTGTATGAAAGTGTGGTTTTAAAGGGAACATGTTGAAATGAAAACAGTAACACTGCCTTGTGTAAGTAGAGCAGGATCAATGTACAGCAAGCAATTCAGGTTTAAGTTACCATGAACTATTTTTGAACATCTTTAAACTTATATTAGTCCAAATAGTATTTAAACTTTATCAAAATATGTATATTGTACACTAAAGGTATATTTGATTGGGAAGCAAACCTGTTTGTTGTACCAAAGCATATGTATATTTTTATTCAAATGTTGGATAATGCTAATGCTAGCAGACTTATCTTGCAGCTAAACTAATGAAAGTTAACCCAGTGGCATTTCCCCTTTGCACATAATTTGATATGACGTATCTGATGTGGAATATTTCTACACGGTTCTTGTGTGCCATTCGGATGTTACGTTCAGGCTCTGTCTCCCAATTAACCAAGATGTAATGAATGGAATTTGTTTAACTGAAGGCCGTTTTAACATTTAACCAGTTTTAGAATTGCATTTCAGGCCCGTTCACACCAAGGACTATAACTATAATGTTTAAAATTATCGTTCCAATTCTATGAGAATTGTGTCCACACCAAGTCCACTTCACAACTATAATGATTACGACACAGAGAAACGATATTGCTGGAATCACTTTCAGACATAACTACAGTAAAAGGTTATCGTGCACTTTTGTGGATGCGAATATAGTTATTATAGTTTTAGTCCTTGCTATGAACAGGCCTTTACTTATGTTAATGCTATATACTAGTGATGTTTTTGATTAGATAAACATAACACTGATATGGTTGTTCAGTACCAAGCCTGTCTTTATTCTAATTTGTTAACATTTTCTATTAAATGAATTTAGCTATTTTGTCCTTTTTTTTTGTCTGTCATTTTCAGCATTTACATTGCAAAATAGAAACGTCTTCTGTCTGATTTGTCCAGATTCAATGGTAGGGTTGCAATTGCAATTGCAATTGAAACTTAAAGTCCACATTAGAGGACTTCAGTGGTAACTAACTCTGTTCTTAATCTAGTTGCACAATTTGTTCTTAATGCAAAAATGGCTAGTAAGTTGTAAGCTCTTTTTTAAAGTAACCCATAGTTGCATAATACAACATTTGCCTTCAATTATCCAATAGCAGCCTTCAAATAGAGTGCAACAGTTGGTCCCTCTGCATAACCCTGCGAAACAAGCTATGCAAATATATATGTTGGCAGGCAGGACATCCTATCATTGTATTCAGACCGAATGCAATGATTGGACGAACATTTTTCGGCCCTGAGACTTCCACAGAATATGTACATTTACATATTTAAACCACTTCTGTTATTGATTGCTAGGATGTGAAGAGTTTCAACCAGTATAACAAAAAGTGTTTATGCAAAACATTGCCTACCCTACCTTTAAGCTACATGTTAAAATGTCTAAATAGCGCTACATTTGATAGCACAGACAAGATAAGAGAGCACAAGCACACTTTGTTAAATTTAATGAGTTCGCCTGCCCATTCATTCATGATGGCTAATGGTAAACCATCTTCCCAGACAGCAACATAGTGTCGGCCCAGATCCGGCCCACGTCTGGTACATGTGGATTCCACACGTGGCGGGCCCATAAAAAAACTAGTTCTTTCCATTAATTCACAGGCAATCCTTTCTATGAAAGAACATGCATATCTCCAGGACATTGTGTGTAGGCCTATTATTATTACTGTCTTGTACAGTGTATTTTGCATTGTACACTGCATGCTTTATGATAGCTATTACATAATGTAGCCTCAGTGGTATCATGCTTCACACGAAACTGCCAGCCCACTCTGATCATGCAAATGAGCTAGCTTCATTACACCCTCTTCATTGGTCAAGCCAAGCTCGAGAGGTTTGACCTCTGCAGGAGTTAAAAGTACATATCTCCTCTTGCTGCTGCTGTCGGCTGGAAAAAACTGGAGACATCCGGTCCGTTGGTGGTTCTGGTCAGGTGGTTAACTCACTCGCTTATTTATTCCCCTGTTTCGATTTCATTTATTCACTTTCCCCAATTTTACCCATGTATGCGTGAGTGTATGTCTTTGTTTAGACTATTTGTGTTTGTGATTTATTTAAGTAAAACAGTTCACATGAGTGTTGATTCTGTGGTCACTGCTTGCAAATCAAATCAAAATGATGCGAGAATGCTCTGAGTAACACTGTACCCAGTAATAAAGAGTTATTTTTCCGTGGCCACGACAATGACCTTTCTGAGAGGTGATAAATGACTAAAGTGTTCGCTGGACGAACAGGTCAATTGATTGTAATAATTCTGCTACACTAAGTCGAGTCTTAAAACTGATCCATATGTTATATGAATTAACAAGTTATAATTAATTATTCACATTTCCCTCGAGCCAATTTACCGCAATGTGGAAAAAAAAAAGTCAGATTTAATGTCAACTAAATGTATCATGAAATATAGATGAAATGTAAAGTACATTTTCGTCAATAGAGAAAATTTATGACAAACAAAAATCTGATCACTTAAGATCAATGATATAATGAGATGAATAATAGTCAGTCTCGTATTGGCTTGTTTAGCTGATCCATCCATGGAACAAACAAAACTGGAAATGTATAAAATAACACATATTATACAGACACATGATATTTAATCTATGATTAGTAAATTGCATTTAATAGATTTTACTTTCAATAAAACATTTGCAATGGGTTTGTAAGAGGTGTTTTATGCATGTTTGGCCCGAGTTTTTGTTGTATTTACACTGTTTCGACCAGCAGGAGTCACCAGCGTGTGGAGTTTGAAACAGTCAATCATTAGTGACGCAACACAGTGTTAGTATGGTGTATCAAAGGCATAAAACACTGCAGAAATCATTTGTCCACTATAATATATTTCTGAACAAAGTGGGATGCTCTATAAACGTGTTACATAATATAGAAATAACATAAATATGAAATAACTTGACAACACAGTGATCAGTAGTGCAGGATTAAAAATGGTGTCTCAAAATACCTCACTGGTTGGAACAAGAGACCATTATACACTAACAGGAGTTTACAGTGGGCTCCAACCCGGACAGCAACATAGTGACGGCCCAGATCCGGCCCACATAGAATCCAGATGTGGGCCGGATCTGGGCCGACACTATGTGGCTGTCTGGGAAACGTCTCAGGCCACTAGTGAAAATCCCTATTAATGTTGTATTTAATACAAAATACTTCATTGCTTATTATAGGTTTCTCCGACTTTTGGACACCACTGTGTCTGTTTACAATAGTAAAGGTGAGATGCCTGTGATTACAGTGACAGTCAGGAGTTTAGGATGCAAGTCTTCATTTGTTCCTTCATTATAAGACAACTAAATCTTTCTCAACAGAATTGGTGGAGAAATGAGCTTAGGGCGGCTCCAGAAATCATTCATAAATCAAACATTGCTTTCACTCTAAGAAGATACATTTCTATATAGAACCTTAAAGGGTTCTGTCAGGCACTTCACATAGACACTTTTTGGCATAAAGGGTTCTTTAAATTGAGTCAAGAACCCTAGAGTTCTATATAGAACCACACTGAACCTTTTAGAGTAGTACAGCCTCATACACAAAACTCACTGATCACACACACACACACACTGAATTAGGCTCTGTTCAGAATAGCATACTAACATAATATCACTATTTCTGTATAGTATGCACACACATTTACAGTGTGACAAATTAATTGGAACTACAGCCAAGAGTTTTAACATCTGTTTTTACTCATTGTCAGACATTAAAATACATATTCACACAAAATTGAATTAATAAAAAATAAACTTTATTTTCAAAAAGACAACTGCATACTGCCCATTAAATTCAACATGCAATGTAGTGGTCACGTGACAACAGTATAGCGCACCACTGTATGCAGAACACTACTACTACTGTTTTACTGTATTTAACATGTGCAATGCACAGTATTTAGTGAGCGGTAATATTACAATAAGCACTCCATTCTGAACATAGCCAGTGATTGTAATACATCACAGTTGTAGAATGTTACATTCCATTTGCCCCGTAGCTGATGTACTAATATAATCTGTTAGTAATTCAAATACACAATTCTGAATACATATAAATCTGTGTGTGCATATATATATTTATACACACACACACACACTGTACACACATCATATTGAGCCTACTTTAATGATAACCTCATTATAAGATCTGCTCTGTTTCATCAAGTCTTAAACAGAGCTGATGGATCCCAGACAGCAACGTAGTGTCGGCCCAGATCCGGCCCACATCCGGTACACATGGATTCCACACGGCCCAGATGTGGGCCGACACTACGTTGCTTCTGGGATGGATGGATGAGTGGATGGACAATCGTCTGGAGGTCTATAGGTTACTGAAGAGTTCGTTTTTCTTGCTCCAGTCCATGGGCGGAGCTCTCTTATTGGAGCGTTTCTGGTGTGCGCGCTCTTTCACCTGCTGTAAGGACAGACTGAGCTCTGGGATAGCATCTCTGATGGACGGCTCCACGGTCTGCAGGGAGGAAGACAAACAAACAAAAAGTTATGAAATACCCTGAAACAGTCACCCCTCAGGATCTGCTACAAGCGTGTGGAACAGCGTTCTGATGGAAAATATTTTCCCAATATTTCATTTAGGGGTTGTTTCAGAAAGTTTTTACTGTATACTACTGACTTTTTTTTTTTTAAATAGCATGTGAAACATTATGCATAAATGTCAAAGAGTGAAAAAAAAATGATTAATTGTATTGAATGTGCACTTCAAAAAGTATAATTTTTAAACAAAACTGTATGTGCAGATAATATAATATTACTGAAATGAAAGAATACTTAAATACACTTAAAGTGAGACACTTTCATGACTTTTTTTATCACACTTAAGTAGACTTTTAAAACTGCACTTTGTAATAAGTTTTACTTTCATGTTTTGATCTTTTGTCATGTTTTAAAGAAGCACTCATATAAGCACATGTGAAGTAACTGATTATAATTTTAACTGTATTGTGTTAATATTACATTTAAAGTTAAAATATATTAAATGTACTAAATTGCAACGTCTTCATAACAAATATGTTATTACAAATATATTCAAATAGATAACATTCAAGGTGCAATAGAAAAGACATTAAAGTATATTTTAGTTGATCATAAATGTTTATCAGCACATTCAGCAGTAACTTTAACCATAATTCAAGAACAATAGAAGTAATTATGAAATCACATATGATGAGTGGTTGAAAAAAAACAATCAAGTTCGACTAATAGATTTTAAGAATTTTTTTTAATATTAGACATTTTTTTCATAATTATAACTATCATGTTATTATCAAGTTTCCAAAACATTACATTCAATTATCACTTAAGTATATTCTTTTAAAAGTATATTATTTTCTTATTAAAGTATTCTTTTTTTTAAAAATAAAGAGCATTTTTATCTCATAATGTCTATTGCATTGTGCATGTTTAATTCTGCAAGTGCAAGCTATTAATAACATTATTTTGCATTTTTCATAAATTTTTCATAAATTGTGTAAACATATCTTAACCCCCGAGTCAAAAACATGAGAACAAAAATCTAAGTTTATATTACTTCCACTTTATTTGTTACACTGGAAATGCAACGCTTTGTATTGTAGGATACAGTCTGTTTACTGCAAATTTTGGCAAAGTAAGAATCTGCATGGTGCAAACAGCATATAGTCGTGCTGAATTCAGAACCGCATACTACTCTTATGATTTCCCCGTGTCTTTCTATGGCAGAAACAGCGAGAGTAGTATGTTAGTCTGCGGTCCTCAGTCTCACCTCAGGCGGCGGAGTCACGAGGGAGGCGTTGGAGGAGGCGTTGGAAGGGGACGGACTGACTGATAACTTTGAGTCCTTCAGTTCCACCTCTTTGGCCACATTCCCATTTACCTAAACAGAAGGCAGATTTCAGTCAGATGTCATGTGAGAGAAATTAGGCCCTATTTAAAGCAGCACTAAGTAGGAATTCCGTTTTTGTCAAACAGCGACCCCTAGAGTCGCTGTGGAGTACTTGTACTGTCGTGAATAGCACTCACGCAGAGATGGCTCGCACTCACGGCCTGATCCCCTCCCCCTGTACACCGGTACCTGTTCAGTAGGATGGACGCTGTAACGAGTGGAAATAAGGTATGGCCCCTTTAAGAGCTGCGCGCGCCGTGTTTAACTGTCGGCAGTCTGTATTGTATGTGCGCCTCGAACACCACATGTATACGGCGCCGGGTTATTTCTGTTTGATGCTCATTTTGTCAGAATTTTATCAGATCTGTTTTTTGCCGTAAAGCAATTCGTTACCTCGCGAGACCTGATATCACCGCCGGCCCAAAGTTGCAAGGGTGGTTTTGCGGCTCACAGGCACCAGGGGGGTGCGAGACGACCACCATTCAACACGAAATCAGTAATCTAAACATTACAATGACTCCAAAGCTGTTTGGTTAAGGTAAAAAAGTTACTTAGTTCACCTTTAAACAACGTGGCGCAGGACGTGAAAATGATAACTGCGTCGGGCTGAAACTAGCAAAACACACTTGCCTGGCGCTGCATTGCACCGGGTGTATGAGAGGGCCCATCCTGCGGTTTGTGCAGTAGGGGTCAGACTTGAGCCTGTGTTGAACCGTGTGACAGCCGCAGTGTGTGTGTGTGTGCCTCTGAGACTGAGCTTTATTAACTCTATGAGTGGGCAGCATTAGCCAGGCATCAATACTCCTCCTCTGACAGCTGACAGCGCCCCCTTATTCCCTCCAGCCAGATACATCTAACACGTCAGCCATTAGCCAGAACCTGAAGGATCCCTGCATCCCGCATCCTTTCCCTCTTTAGAGAAACCGTCCCCAGCGTGTCTCTATCTCTCTCTCTCTCTCTCTCTTTTCTGGGGACACGGTCTCAAAACGTACTAACTCCAGCAATGAGTGGCTGATCCATCCATGTCAACTCCAGCGGGATGAACGCAAAAATGGAAGGTGTATTCAAAAAAGTAAATATCACCGGCCACACTGGAAATTTTATTTTTGCCTCATAATCTCGTCTTATTTTTATTGAAAATATATTTTTTAGCCTGTATGACAGTGTGTCTTGCATATTAGTGTCGAACAGCGCGCGTCATCGTGTCACTAGCGGCGACATATTCAAGGCAGTCTCTGTCTCGCAGTCGAACTGCTCCTGTCACAAAAAAACTACAGATATATCATCATTGGGGTGGCATAATGTGAGAAATATTACACGTGTGTGTCACCACATGGAGTCCTTTTACTGTGCATCAGCTCTGAGCACTATAGTTACATTAAATCCCTCCAGAATAGCGATTAATCATGTCAATTTCTGAATAAAGGATTAATCTTCAACCTTTAATGGTCTTCTGTCATGCCTTTTGTAACTTTCGTCATTGGCATAATCACAATAATTGTGTATGATACACAGTTTTAACCGCAGGCATTCCCTTCATATTTGGGATGACTTTACTAAACCTAATTATAGGCTAATACTGTATTTCAATAATAGGCTAATATCAAAACATGTAAAGGTTTCCAATAACCTCTGAGAAACCTCTTGTTTTCCTGCTATGAGAACTAGGTTCAGGCATAGGCTAATACAAACTATTCAACTTGCTGAGTTTATTTATTAAAGAGCACACAGAATAACAAATAAAACCCCAACAGGAAAGTGTACATGGCTAAGAACTGAGAAAAAATGTACAGTATTTGCTCATTTCATTTCTCGCTGGTTAGATTCAAAACATCTAAAACCAGAACTTTTTACTAAATAAAACATTTGGAGGCATGATATTTAATCACAAACGAACCAGATTTTGTCCATGATGCTCAATTTTATTAAAGCAACACATTTTGTAATGACACATTTGAGCTTGATTTTCTCTATATTTCAAATGTGTTACAGGGATAGTTCACCCAAAATTTTTCATTTTGTCATCATTTACTCATCCTTAAGTCATTCCAAACCTGTATGACTTTTTTTCTTCAATGAAACACATAATGGCTTTTCACACTTGAACTAGTTAACCCTGGGTCATTAATAAACCCAGAGTAAACTGAATCCTGGGTTATCTTGATTCACGTTTCACATTGCTCATGATTTACCCAAGGTTAACATTTAATCCTGGGTATTCATAAGCTGACGTTTCACACGGTACATTCCTAAACCCTGGGTTAATGTCCTTATTTGCATATTTGTAGTGTCAGTGTCACTGATTGGATGAATTGGATTGCGCATCCTCATACTATATAATGCGTTTACATGCACGTTCTTAACCCAATTGCTTAATAAGCCGACAATGCACATGTCTGAATATTGGTTTGCATGTAAACCCGGACATTTCAATAAGCTGATTTTTGTGAGTTATCAGCAGTTAGTTATTTTACTTATCAGATTTGTGAGTTATCAGATTTGTGAGTTATCAGTTATTTTAGTTATCAGATTTGTGAGTTATCAGCACACTGGGGTGCATGTAAATGTGCTCACTGTCACGTTTTCTGTCGCCGTTTGACATTTTTCCTCTCAAGCGTTGAAGCTGCTGTTTTCATGACTGACCAAAGCCAGTTGTTGGTTCCTAAGCATCTAGTCATGTCATTCTAACACCGCTTTGTTTCACACTGTACAAGTTTGGGGTTAACACCACAAAACCAGTGCTAGCCCTGCTCCGGAGAAGGGATTCCAAACCCCGGGTAAAAAGCGGTGCTAATCCTGCATCACAAGTGTGAAACGTTCCTTTACCCGAGTTTAAAAGCGGGGTTTAGAACGATGATAACCCGGGGTTAAAAGCGGGGTTTAGAATGATGATAACACAGGTTTAAAAGCGGGGATTAGAATGATGATAACCCGGGTTTAAAAGCGGGGTTTAGAACGATGATAACACAGGTTTAAAAGCGGGGTTTAGAATGATGATAACCCGGGGTTAAAAGCAGGGTTTAGAACGATGATAACACAGGTTTAAAAGCGGGGTTTAGAATGATGATAACCCGGGGTTAAAAGCGGGGTTTAGAACGATGATAACAGGTTTAAAAGCGGGGATTAGAATGATGATAACAGGTTTAAAAGCGGGGTTTAGAATGATGATGACCCGGGGTTAAAAGTGGGGTTTAGAATGATGATAACACAGGTTTAAAAGCGGGGATTAGAATGATGATAACACAGGTTTAAAAGCGGGGTTTAGAATGATGATAACACAGGTTTAAAAGCGGGGATTAGAATGATGATAACACAGGTTTAAAAGCGGGGATTAGAATGATGATAACACAGGTTTAAAAGCGGGGTTTAGAATGATGATGACCTGGGGTTAAAAGTGGGGTTTAGAATGATGATAACACAGGTTTAAAAGCGGGGTTTAGAACGATGATAACACAGGTTTAAAAGCGGGGTTTAGAATGATGATAACCCGGGGTTAAAAGCGGGGTTTAGAACGATGATAACAGGTTTAAAAGCGGGGATTAGAATGATGATAACAGGTTTAAAAGCGGGGTTTAGAATGATGATGACCCGGGGTTAAAAGCGGGGTTTAGAACGATGATAACAGGTTTAAAAGCGGGGATTAGAATGATGATAACAGGTTTAAAAGCGGGGTTTAGAATGATGATGACCCGGGGTTAAAAGTGGGGTTTAGAATGATGATAACACAGGTTTAAAAGCGGGGTTTAGAATGATGATAACACAGGTTTAAAAGCGGGGTTTAGAATGATGATAACACAGGTTTAAAAGCGGGGATTAGAATGATGATAACACAGGTTTAAAAGCGGGGATTAGAATGATGATAACACAGGTTTAAAAGCGGGGTTTAGAATGATGATGACCTGGGGTTAAAAGTGGGGTTTAGAATGATGATAACACAGGTTTAAAAGCGGGGTTTAGAAAGATGATAACACAGGTTTAAAAGCGGGGTTTAGAATGATGATAACACATGTTTAAAAGCGGGGATTAGAATGATGATAACACAGGTTTAAAAGCGGGGTTTAGAATGATGATAACACAGGTTTAAAAGTGGGGTTTAGAACGATGATAACACAGGTTTAAAAGCGGGGTTTAGAATGATGATAACACAGGTTTAAAAGCGGGGTTTAGAATGATGATAACACAGGTTTAAAAGCGGGGATTAGAAAGATGATAACACAGGTTTAAAAGCGGGGTTTAGAATGATGATAACACAGGTTTAAAAGCGGGGATTAGAATGATGATAACACAGGTTTAAAAGTGGGGTTTAGAATGATGATAACACAGGTTTAAAAGCGGGGTTTAGAATGATGATAACACAGGTTTAAAAGTGGGGTTTAGAACGATGATAACACAGGTTTAAAAGCGGGGTTTAGAATGATGATAACACAGGTTTAAAAGCGGGGATTAGAATGATGATAACACAGGTTTAAAAGCGGGGATTAGAATGATGATAACACAGGTTTAAAAGCGGGGATTAGAATGATGATAACACAGGTTTAAAAGCGGGGATTAGAATGATGATGACCCGGGGTTAAAAGTGGGGTTTAGAATGATGATAACACAGGTTTAAAAGTGGGGTTTAGAACGATGATAACACAGGTTTAAAAGCGGGGTTTAGAATGATGATAACACAGGTTTAAAAGCGGGGATTAGAATGATGATAACACAGGTTTAAAAGCGGGGTTTAGAATGATGATGACCCGGGGTTAAGCGCAGTGTGAAAAGCCCTTTAAAAATATATTTTGAGAATATATGATTTTTTTTTGTCCATACAATGGAAGTCAATGATAACCAAAACTGGTTACAGTACCAACATTTTTCAAAATATATATATTTTTTAGTACACAACTAATTTACAACATTAAAGTCCCCCTGTAGTCAATAAATGTATTCCTTAAAACTCACCAAAATTACATATTTAAGCGTTTTTTCTTAAAATAGCTTGAATGTAACTCTACACCCTTGCCTCATTTAGTATACGCGGTTCTATGGATCAAATGAGCCCCGCCTCCACTCACTCACTCAGCTCAGAGATCCACTCGCTGACGATCACACGTTGATCTGATTGGTTAAACAGTAGTGTGTGACGTCAGAAACACCAGCGATTTCAAACCGTGTTTTTGAGACTGTCTTTGGTTCACTGCAGTTTTAAGGAGAAAATAATCAGCAATGCTGTCGACTTATGAATTTACACATGGTTTGTCTTAAAGCATATCAAAAACACCACATAGACATATAAACAACATTAAAAACTTGATTTTCACCACAGGGGGACTTTAAGATTTTCTTCTTTATTGCAACTATACGGTGAACTGTTAGTTTAATAGCTACATAAAGCTCACTTTTTAGTTTCTGTAAGTACACTTTGAAGAATACTTTCTTTAAGTGAACTTAAAAGCATACTTATAGTTTATGCATTTTAAGTATGCTTATACTATAAGTAGACTTATATTAAAGTAGACTTGAAATTAACTACAATATATGCCACATATACTGTATTTATAAACCAAGTACTGTATACTACACAAGGATAATTTTGTATATCTCTGATAAGTACATAAAAGTAGACTGAAAGTGAGAAAATGATGACAGAACTTAATGTTGTTGAATTATGCCCTTAATATGGCCTGCTAGTATTCTGTCATTTGAGCGGTTGTCTTACCTTGTCCTCCATGTCTCCGTTGAGCACAGGTTCAGGCAGCGGTCCTGCGGGGCAGACAGAAGCAGCACGGGTCAGTCACAGATCACACAACTGCCCCTAGTACATCTGCGTCTGTCAGGCGGGACACTTTCTCCAATAATGCTCCTCATCAGAGACAGCCAGGACGCACAGATTAAACAAGACACTTCCAAACACCAAGAGAATAGCTAGTATGACATTCACTCCTCCTCGGGTTGCAGTGAGCAGATGTCGACTCTGTTACATACTCAGCACAGGTATTCGCTTCATTTATTATTCAGATGCCGATAATCACCGTGGTGAGATCCGTGATACCTGGATACCTGTCGACCCCCACAACTCCACAGGGAAATAAATCTAGAGGCCTCCATAGTGGATTACACTTTAACGAATGAACCTGACATGAGAGATAAAGGACTTGTGAAAAAGACGTACACTTTTAGTATACTTCTACTTCTGTTGTCTTTGAAATACGGTTAAAGTTACTGCTCAATATATTTGTAATTACACATTTGTAATGACAAAGTTGCAATTTAGTAGATTTAAAATATATATGAACTTTAAATGTAATATCAAATAACACAGGCCATGGTTGTAGGTAATGACGAGGAAACATTAAAATGTACACTGCAAAAAAAATCTTTTCTAGTAGTTTTGTCTTCTTTCCAGTCCAAATATATATATATATATATATAAACTTAAATCAAGATTAGTTAGAAAATTTGAAATTATGCGTTAGAAACGTTATAAATTATGTCTTGTTTTCTTAAAAAAAATTAAAAAAACAGCTAAAAACAATTATCTGCCAATGGGGTAAGAAAAATAATCTTGTTTTCTGTTCTTGTTGTTCCTTTTTCCTTCTGTGATTCAGTTTGTTATCATCATCAGGTGCCTTTACTAATGCTCAATAATCACTTATGTATAATTATGGAAATCTCATGTTAAACTTCATGACATTTACCTTTATTTAAGAAAGATGGCCTGTTTTTTTTCCAGTGGTCTGAATATCTGTATTTTTAGGGAAAGTTAGCAGTTTAAATATAATTTTTTTTTAAAGTGAAATCGTTTTTAAATTTTACTGCATTTTCTCTGTAAAAATACATTTATTTCCCCAACTCTGAGATAAAAAAAAAATCCAGAATTTTTTTTAATGAACATCTCACGTTAAAATTAGAATTTTGCACATGAAAATCATAATTGCCTTTATTTTTAAGAAAAAATACTTTTTCCCAGTAAAACTATAAAAATATTAACTTGTGAATGTATACATTTTTATGTAAGTTCACACTTCTGATAAATAATGATACCACATCTTCTCTGTAAAAATACTTTGCAAACAGTGTGACAGTTGCGAGTTTAAAACATTTATTTGTGGTGCTGTACACTTGCACTTGCCACAACCGTAAGTCTTTTACTGTAAACAAGTTAGCCGTTTTCTTATACGCTAGAGGACAATTATACTCAGTGATTTGAAGATTTGAAGGGTCACAACACACTACTTGTGACTGGAGGTCACACAGTGTAACTGTAGGCTGTTTGTGGTTACAAAGAAACGTCACAATTTCCTGCATTAACAGGATTTAATTGATGTGCGCTCAAAAAATGTATCATGATCATCAAGAGTACCTTTCATTTGTAAAGTAATTAAGTGACTGGATAATTTAAAACATATTACTTCGTACTTAAGTAACATTAAATATGTTTTGGTTCCAAAAAAAAAGATGTTCCTACCGCCAGCCATACTTTCTAGGAAGAAGAAGAAGAAGAGTAAAGCAGTGAGGCAGATAACAGAATTGGAAAATAATCCCGACCCCCTTACCGCCTTCTTGTCTCTAAATCTTTATCTTTCTACCGCCGTCTGAAGGATATATGAGTGGCAGAAAACTGCAGGGAAGGTATGATAACACAGATCCATCTGGCCCCTGATCGGCACAAAACACACATCACTGGCTGTTTGGACACTTCAAATGCCCTTCAGTCCCAATACGGCAATCTGAGAGCCACTCCAGACCAGCACCTTGGAAACCACACAAGTCCTCCTTCCAAATTTGGCTGACAGGCAGCAGAGAGAGACAGAGTGTGTGTGTGTGTTCAGACAGAGCAGTGCAACTGTGTGCGAAAGAGAATAGAAAACAGCTGAATGTAAGACTCTGTAAAGAATAGAATCCTACAATCTGAAAAACCCAATGCCATAGAAGAACCAGTTTGGGTTCCACAAAGAATCTTTCAGCGAACAGTTCTTAAAAAAAAAAAAACACATAAAATGTAATAATCTGATGAACCTTTTTCAACAATTAAGAATCGTTTGTGTAATAGAAAGATTCCATGGATGTTGAAGGTTCTTAATGGAACTACACAGCTAACACATTTGTGTTCTAAGAACGTTTTCCAAACATTCCGTTTTGGTTATGGACACGTTAAAATGTCCAGTTTTCTTGATGTTAGTGGAACGTTTTTTAAAAGGTTAGTTTGATGTTCCAAAAACATTCTTTCAACTTAATCTTTACTAACGACTCAACATTCTAGAAATGTTGATTTGTAACATTCCAAGAACATAAAAATGTCCAGTTTCCTTAATGTAAATAGAATATCATATAAAGGTTAGTATTATGTTCCTGAAACATTCAAACACCTGCTTTTAACAAGCAGAATCACTGAAGGAAAGCGAAACAACAAGAACAGAAACTACAACTGACTTCCAGACACAGTCTTACTGTAGGTGAAATCTAATCTCTGTTAAAAATTATAAAAACAAATATAAACTGCTTGAAAAATATAAATTGATTATTGAAAGTCAATATGGATTCAGAAACAAAAGATCTACATCTATGGCTTTAATTGATGCAATAGAAAAATTATCAAATGCACTGGACAATAAAAAATTGACCATTGGAATATTTATTGATTTGAAAAAAAGCCTTTGACACTATCAATCACGCAATACTACTCAAGAAACTAAAAAGTTTGGCTGGAAACTAGGTAAAAAACTACTTAAGTGACAGAATAGAATATGTGCAGAAGTCCTCATCTAGCTGTCGTGCCCTTTCTTGCGGTGTCCCCCAGGGGTCAATATTGGGCCCTAAATTATTCAACTTGTACATCAATGATATATTTAATGTTTCAAAATTACTTAAGTGTGTTTTGTTTGCAGATGACACCAACATTTTCTATTGTGATGACAATTATGATAAGGTTATTAATGTTGTAAGAACTAAGGAATATAAAAAAAAAATGGATGGAATAAATTATCTTTAAACTTTAATAAAACTAAAGCCATATTATTTGGTAATTAACTAAAAAATACGGAAAAGATTGAGATAGATGGGATACAAACTGAAAATGTCTCTGAAATAAAAAATTTAGGAGTTACAATAGATAATAAACTAACTTGGATAACTCAGATCAGACACATAAAAACCAAAATCTCCAAAAGCCTTGCAATAATAAATAAAGCTAAACATGTCTTTGATTACAATACACGCCGTACCCTGTATTGGTCCCTGATTCTACAGTACTTAGCTTACTGTGTTGAAGTATGGGGAAATAATTATAATAACTCCTTACAGTCATTACTTCTCTAACAAAAAAGGGCAATACACTCTTGAACAAAATCTTAAGACCGGGGGAAACATTGCAAGTATTCGCATTTCGCGCTGGTGGATCATAACCGGGTTGTAAGTACTGCTTCAAAATGCCAAAAGAAGAAACAGGAGCAAGAGACAAAAAATAGAGAGTAGGCAATTTATTGAAAACTGCATTTAAACTTAAACAGGCTGCAGTTGATCAAAAGTTTAAGACCATAGGCATAAAAAGGTAAAATCTGCACAAAAATATGGCTTTCGTGTCATTGATCTTCAGGCAGTCACACTGCTATGATCTCCTGATGGCAAAGGCAAAAAGGCTTTCTCTCTTTGAACGTGGCAGGATTGTTGAGCTGCACAAGCAATGCCTCTCGCAACGCGCCATCGCTGCCAAGGTTGGACAGTCATTTTACATTTCTGAAAAGATCCTAAGAGTTATGGGACAAAAAAGTCAAGTGGTAGACCCCAAAAAATTTCACCTGCACTGAGCCGCAGGATAGGACGGGTTGTCCGTGAAGACAAAGGTCGATCCTCGACCCAAATTAAGGCACTTACAGATGCTGACTGTGGCCCAATAACCATAAGACGTCATCTGCGAGAAAAGGGCTTCAAGAACAAAAAACGTCTTCAAAGGCCACGTCTCCTCCCACGCCACAAACTTGCCCGTTTGGAATTTGCATGGGAGCACCAAACATGGGACATTGAAAGGTGGAAGAAAGTTTTATTCTCTGACGAGAAAAAATTTAACCTGGACGGTCCTGATGGCTTCCAACGTTACTGGCATAACAAGGAGATCCCACCGGAGATGTTTTCTACGCGGCACAGTGGAGGAGGCTCCATGATGATTTGGGGTGCTTTTTCCTTCAATGGGAAAATGGAGCTTCAGGTTGTGCAGGGGCGTCAAACGGCGGCTGGCTATGTGGACATGTTGCAGCGGGCATCCCTCTTGACTGAGGGCCCTCATCTGTGCGGTAATGACTGGGTCTTTCAACAGGACAACGCTGCAATTCACAACGCCCACCTGACGAAGGACTTCTTCTAGGAGAATAACGTTGCTCTTTTGGACCATCCTGTGTGTTCTCCTGATCTAAATCCCATTGAGAACATTTGGGGATGGATGGCAAGGAAAGTTTACAAAAACGGACGTCAGTTCCAGACCGTGGATGCCCTTCGTGAAGCCATCTTCACCACATGGAGCAACGTTCCCACCAAAGAACCTCATGGAAACAGTCCCATCAAGCATGCCGAAACGAGTGTTTGAAGTGATCAACAAGAACGGTGGGGCTACTCACTACTGAGTCCTTTTTTTACACTTTTAGTTCTGTTGTAGGTTTATTTTTGGGCTATGGTCTTAAACTTTTGATCAACTGCAGCCTGTTTAAGTTTAAATGCAGTTTTAAATAAATTGCCTACTCTCTATTTTTTGTCTCTTGCTCCTGTTTCTTCTTTTGGCATTTTGAAGCAGTACTTACAACCCGGTTATGATCCACCAGCGCGAAATGCGAATACTTGCAATGTTTCCCCCGGTCTTAAGATTTTGTTCAAGAGTGTATGTACAATACACAAGGCTGAATATCTTGAACACACAAATCCACTTTTTCTCAAATCAAAGTTATTAAAAATACAGGACCTTGTCAAATTCAACACGGTACAACTCTTATTTAAAGCATTTCACAACCTATTACCTGCTAATATACAAAAGTTATTCACACAGAGAGAGCAGTTGTACAGTTTGAGGAGCTATGGGAACTTTTCTATAACCACCATGGAGGAGTTTCTGTGTGTCTGTATGCGGGGTTAAACTGTGAAATAGTCTGGGGCTCGAACTTAAACAATGTCAAAGTATTCACCAGTTTAAAGCACTCTATAAACAGAAGGTCTTGTCACAGTACAAGGAGTTTAATCGTCTAGGTGTTGTATTTATGTATTCGTAGGCCGTGTTATCTTACCTTCGAGGTATTCTGATTACCATTGCTGGTATCACTATAACTGTATAGATGTATTCATGTTTTCATAGGCTGTGTTCTGATTACCACTGCTGGGATTACTATAATTGTCATACTAAAACATATGGTGTGTATTTAATAAGATATGCTGCGGGGGGGGGGGGGGGGGGGGTTCACATGTGTATAAATAAAATTGTAATTGAGAGTAATGATAATGTCAACAATAAAGGAAGCAGCTACCTTTGTTTTTCTTTCTTGTTTTTCCTTTAACTGTAACAGACCGGGGTGGGTCTAAATAAGTCCGACTTCTTCCCACTCCGTTTCGAGCAATTGGTTGATTTATGTTGTTAAAAATCAAATGCTTCGTATTGCCTTTGTTATATGTCACTATATTGCTCGAAATAAAAATGCAAATAACAAAATAAATGACATTAAATCTTCCAAGATCTCAGCAGAGGAGGATTAAACAACTCCACAAACAGCATTACCAGCTTCACCTTTAAATTTATTACTAATTTTGTTTCTGCCATATATCTACAGAAGTTCTTATTGAGAAATAACAGAGGTTTAGATTTTAGTTGATGTTTGGTTGAACATTTTTGGTTTGAAGTCACCATTATGGTGATTAGTGTGTCCTTTAGTTGGTCTCTTGACCCTTGATTTTTGTTAGTTTATTTCTCTTTCAGTAATTGCAGGTGTTTTCAGAAAATTATAAATTGATTTGATAAAGATTTGATGCATTGATTTGATTTGATGCATTGATAAATAGACTGATGAAAAGGCAGACAAACATGTCTGTTTTATTGACAGTGAAATGACTGCATTAAAGTGGTTTTAACTGCTTTTTCTGTAGTTTCGTGACAGACTTAATTAAGTAAAAAAGTAATAAACAAATTCAACCGTTGACAACCTCTTGTGTAAAAGTTGAGAGACGCTTCAGACATCAACGCTCATCATGCAAACCTCGACAATGGTGACAATCAAAAATATTCAAATATAAATAGTAAAAGAATTCAGCTACATAATTTATTTGTATCGCAATGCATGCTGGGAGCAAGGACTGAGTTTTGTATGCTTGCATGAAACATGTCACAATTGCTGAATTTCATATGCTGATTGATGTGTGTGAGTGTCTACATAACACTGTAGTTTCTAACTTCCTGCTCACTACATGTTTTCATTTTTCGGAAAGTCTGATTTTCAGCAGCACAATATTTAATCGCATGAATAACAAAACACACTTCTGATCTGTGATTAGACTTCAAATGTGATCCTTGAATCAGACCACATCCTGATGATGTCACCATTAATTAACAGCCAACATCATCTGAAATTATTCACTACAATGACATATTTAAACTTTTTTTTCCTGTGAAAAAAAAAACAAAAAATGTGTCATGCATTAAAATAGCTTGAATGTAACTCTACACCCTTGCCTCATTTAGTATACGCGGATCCACGAATATGCAAATGAGCCCTGCATAGACATATAAACAACATGAAAAACTTGATTTTCACCACAAGGGGACTTTAACATTTGAAGAACGTTCAAAGAATGAAGACATTTAAAAAACAATCCATAAATAACGTTTTTGTGCTAACCTTTTGAGAACAACCAGATAATATTGAACAAACACTCTATTAACGTTACTGGAAGAATGTTTGTTCATAACTTTAAGAGAACCTTGCCAGAACCAAAGTTATGAGAACGTTCCCTGTTAGCCGGGTTGCTAGTTGTTAGCTAAGCTAGTGCTCCCAGTCTTCTGTCCCTGTTGACAGCTAATCCCACGGCCTCACTGTGAACAGAAAAGAGCTATTCAAACCGAAACGCAGTGATTCTGGCAGAAAACAGACTGATCATGAGTATTAAACGAGCCTCGCTGAGAACAGCAGCACCTGAGACGTCTAAAAGCCTTCATCTGGTCAATCCTGCCATTTTTACTCAAACAGATGTTTACTCAAACTGATAAAACGCAATAGCAGTGATAACAGCTAAGGAGAGTTTCCACTAGTGCTGACGCCAACAACTTGCTAGGTAAATAAAACGAGTAAACATCGTGTCTCCACTCACTCATGACTAATCTAGTTGTGTCAAACACACACACACACAAACACACAGTTTCCATGGCTGCATTTGGCACTGTTGCAGATTGTTGGCACGGGGTAACAAAACAAGACGGACAAACTAAATTGCTTAATAGGAAACCCAAAACCAGCGCAGCGAGAGAGACACGCTTGCCTGAGTGACCCCTGCTCAGACGCCACCTAGAGAGATGCCATGGGGAGTTACAGCTGCTGGAAACCTGTTGAAGTCTTACTTCATGTTTTGTGTGTGTACCTGTGAGGTGTTCTGCGGTGGGCGTCACTCGACACTTCTTGAAGAAAGCATCTGTTTCTGGATCTACGACCAAGAGTGTGGTGTCTTCACCCCCGGCTTTAATAGCAGCCACCACATCTGCATGCTGCTTCCCATCCACTGAAACCGCGTTCACCTGAGGACAAACAGCACATCAGAGGACATTCACGTGCACCAGTCACTGACTCACACTTAAAGGGACAGTTCACACCCAAAATTGGTGAAATTTCGGTCATTAATTACTCACCCTCATGTCGTTCCAAACCCGTAAGACTTTCGTTCATCTTCAGAACACAAATTAAGATATTTTTTGATGAAATCCGAGAGGCCATAGGCAGCAACGTCATTGCAACTTTCAAGGCCCAGAAAGGTAGTAAAGACATAGTTAAAATAGTCCATGTGACTACAGTGGTTCAACCCTAATGTTATGCAGCGACGAGAATACTTTTTGAAAATAACGACTTTATTCAACAATCTCTTCTCTTCCATGTCATTCTCCTACACTGTTGACGTAGTGTAAAACAGTGCAGCGCTTCCAGGGTCTACGTCAGGACGCCGGCTCATTATTGGCCAGCTCCTGCATCACACGCATGTGTCGTGGTGATCACGTGACCAGCGTCGGCCAATAGTGAGCCGGCGTTCTGATGTAGACCCTGGAAGCGCTGCACTGTTTACACTACGTCAAATGACGTGGAAGAGAAGAGATTGTTGAATAAAGTCGTTATTTTTGTTTGTATTTTGCATAACATTAAAGTTTAACCACTGTAGTCACATGGACTATTTTAACGCTGTCTTTACTATCTTTCTGGGCCTTAAAATGAGCATCGATGTTGCTGCCTATGGCTGGTTTAGAAACCTCTCGGATTTCATCAAAAAAATATCTTAATTTGTGTTCTGAAGATGAACGATGATCTTACGGGTTTGGAACGACATTAAAGCGTGAGTAATTAATGACAGAAATGTCATTTTTGGGTGAACAAACCCTTTGAAGTGTTACCGTAGTTCACCCAATGTCGTTCCAAACCCATAACACCGAGTCCTGACCAAAGGTATCTTTTCCATGTTAATCAGGGTTTTTTGTCCAAACCAGCCGTGACAATGAGATGCAACAATTCTATATTAGAAACGTTTCTATTTTTTTTAAACACACAGAGTATGAGAGTGATAATCTGAGATAATGATTATGTGTATTATTTAATGTTAAAAGAACTGAATGTGAGTTTGAATATCATTTTGTGTGAGATTTATAGCCATACTGAAAGCGACAATCGATAATTCGTCTCCGATTTTGAAATAAAAAAATGTTCAAACTGTGAACAAACAAGTGTTTTCTATAACCCGGTTTGTATTTTTAATAATGTTAAAATGGTGTAACATTTATGTATTGTGTCCGCCCATACGCTCTTCTGATTGGCTGTGACTTTTGATTGATTTATTCGCGTCTGGTGTGGACAGATGATGAACTGCCTTCACGTCTGGTTATGACACGGCGTAAGACTTTTAATAACAACTGAGAGATTTCTGTCCCTCCATTGAAAGCCTATTCCACCATAACGTTGACAAAAAAAAAAAATTCATAAAGAGATTGGGAAAGTAATCCAGATGAATTGAGTGTTTTAGTCCAGTGCTATTTTGGCATCATTGAGATAATATAGCCCAATTGTTCTTATTTTTATATTTTTCCTGTTTTTTTTAAAACATGTCTATATAGGTTTTTTTTTTTATTAATTTTTATTTCAGTTATTTTAGTTCAACTAAACTAAATGAGAAATGCCTTGGCAACTTTAGGTTAAAGTTTTTATCAGTTAAAGTTAAATTGTCTGTCCTTGCAAAGGTCCTAGAGCCTTCAGTAAACACCCAACTTAAGGGCTTCTTGCTAAATTATAACATACTTTGTTCGGCACAATCAGGCTTTAGGGCCAAGCATAGCACCATTACTGCATTACTAAGGTGCTTGATGATATCATCCGTGACCTTGACTATAAGATGAGCTGTGCTGCCCTGTTCATCGACATGTCAAAGGCCTTTGACACAGTTGATCACTGTATTCTGCTTAAGAGACTCCGGGACATTGGCTTGGGCACTAAGGCAGTTGATTGGTTCAGAAACTATCTTGCCATCAGAACTCAAACTGTAGTTGTCGATGGGCATAGTTCTGCCCCACTGGGGGTCCGGCGAGGTGTCCCTCAAGGGTCTATCCTTGGTCCGGTCCTATTTACCATTTACATAAACACCATGGCCTCTGTAGCAGATAATGGTAAAATACACCTCTATGCAGACACCACAGTACTATATTGTTCCGCCCCCACCCTAGCTCAAGCTTATCATTCACTGCAGCAATCTTTTAATTTATTACAGGCCGCCTTCATTGATTTTAGACTGGTTTTAAACGCTGGTAAAACTAAGGTGATGCAGTTCACAAAGTCTCGCACAGTACTCGCATCAACCGCCCTAGCCCTTTCCACACTGGATGGGAAGTGTGTTGGAAATGTTTCATCTTATAAATGTCTGTGGATTGATGAAAAGCTAACCTTTAAAGTTCATAGTGATAAATTAGTGAGAAAGCTGAGAGTAAAGCTTGGTTTTTATTTTAGAAATAAATCCTGTTTTACTCTCCAAGCTAGGAGGAAATTGATCAGTGCCACTTTCTTACCAGTCTTGGACTATGGGGATGTTATTTATATGCATGCTGCCTCTACCACGCTGCACACACTTGACACAGTCTACCATGGTGCATTGCGGTTTATTACGAATGCCAAGTCACGCACTCATCACTGTCGTCTTTATGAGGCGACTGGTTTTAGCGTAGATGGTTCCACTAGCACATTTTTATTTATAAAGTCATTAACGGTAATTTACCTGATATCTTACCAGTCTGTTGACCTGGAATCATTCCTTTTACAATCTCCGCTCCGTTAACATTCTGGCTCTAAATATCCCACGCATAACAACTGGATTTGGTAAGTCTGCCTTTAGGTATGCTGCTCCTTGGTGTTGGAAATTTGCTCCAAAAAGTATTGAAGCTTTCTGTTTTTATCTCACTAGAACATTTTAAACAATTACTTAAATGCTCCAAATTTGAACAATCTACATGTTTCAATGACTACTTTAAGTCATTCTTCAGTTGTTTTACATGCACTGTAAATCTGTTGTGTTTGTTTATGTGATTCTGTGTAATTTGTGTAATTGTTGCCCCAGGGCTCCCTTGTAAAAGAGATTTGAATAATCTCAATGGGACATCACCTGGTAAAATAAAGGATAAATAAAAATAAAATAATCATTTTATTTGATTTCAGTTAGCGTTTATTTTTATTTACAAGTAATTTTTTTAATGGTTTTAATATTCGTTTTTAAAACTAATATTTTTAGTTATATAATAGCCGTGGTTTAAACCAAGACACATTCACTTTATATGATGGACAGATTTACTTTAAGCTTTTATTTACATTGATTAGAAACATTGATCAACTCTACTCTAGTTGCTCTACTCAAAATAAGACGACACTTATTGACGTCACCCCGAAATCTATTTTTAGATGCATTATTCACATCTTCATTGTTCCAACAAAGAAAGTGTTTATCAAAGCTGGGATTCATTTTTCAACATTATCGGTCTCCTTTCCTGCTGTCGAAGGGAAGGATATCCTGTGTCTTCGATTCACAAACATTCATGCATTACACGTTTGCCAAAAAACCCACCAGAGGCGTTTGTGTGCACTGATTGGGGAGGAATGTCAAGGACAAATCGGACAGGATCCCACTGAGGCATGAGTTTGGAAGAAAATTGTGATTTGAAATATTTATTATTTGATATTTAACAATATCAAATATTCATAAACACTGATTTATTATTCATAAAATATGAATATGAGTGAGAAATCGACGTATGTTTCATTTCAGTAAAGGAAAAAGTGCACACGGAAATGGAAATGCTGTCATTCTTTTCTCATCGTTTGGTTTTTCTGACCTAATATTTTCTTTCCTCTTTGAAACACAAAGATGATTTATACTGCCAAACTTCGAGAAAGACAAGCCAGAGGTGGAATATACAGGAGCTCACTTTAATAGTACGTATTACACTTTTAAAAAAAGGAGGTTTGATTGGGTTCTTGTTGGAGTCTCTTTTAAAAAAAAACTTTATGCCAAAAAGGTTTGACACTTTTAAAAATAAAGGTTCTTTATTGGCACTGAACAACCTTTCCATTGCAAAAAAGGTTCTATTATGGGAAAAAGTTTATTAAAATGTTGGCATCACTGTCAAAACTCCCTTTTGGAACCTTTTTTTTTTTTTTTCATAAGAAGAAATGTCAGAAATGACTGCATAACACTGACATGTTTATAGAGATATTTAAAGTGTTAAAGTATGTTTATGAGCTGTTACATTCATAAAACAACATTAAAAGGGCTGTAAGTAGTTTTTTTGACTGTACTAAAGCACTAAAATGCCATATTACGTGCAGATATTTAGGAAACATGCTAAGTTCACACTTGTTTCTCTTTCTCTTGATCTGTGCTGCCAGTTCACCCAATAGTATTTCGACACCCCAAAGGTTGCCAGTTGGTGGAAAACACATTGTATCCCAGCAGAGGAAGCAGGGTCAGAGATCGCAGATTCAACCCGACCTAAAAAGCCTCGGCATCCTTCTAGAAATCTCTATGACCAGAGGCATATTAAAATGCGTATATAAAAGGCTTGTCGCCTTCCATTGTCAATTGCATTATTCCCTCAATCTGGCAACCCACACGAGTGTCGAGGAGGTGGAAACAACTCTCCAATGTTTTGAATTCGGACTGCAGTACCCATTTCAACCACTAGCTGTCAATGTTATAATTTACACTAAATCCTAAAAATGATCCTATGATCTCGTCGTATATAGAAAATTTGTTCTATATATGAAATTTGCTCCATATAGACCCTTTTCTTCTAAGAGTGTGGTTTATAGACAGCATCTTTCACTTTGTGTTATAGTGATAAAGGAATGTTGAAATGAGTTTAGGTGTGATGCGAGGCAGTGTGGGAACAGCTCAGCCCGCCTGTGCTTCTATATATGTGGAATGAGGGTGTGTCTGTTAGTGGAGCTCAGTCCCAGAGAGGAAACGGACAATGTGGGCTCAGCAGGAACAATAGCTGCCTGTCCAACACAAAGAGCCCGGCTCGCAGGAGGAGGCCTGGAGGCCCCTCGGGGACAACAAAGACCCCTCCATCCCTCTGCTTCCTTCCCGCCCTTCACTCGTTCACTGGTGGCCTTTCCGTGGCTCTCGCTCCGGATTGAGCGGCCAGACTCAAGAATCACATCTCGCACAAGAACCGGACAGAGAAAAACCTACAGAAACATACACCTACTCTTTCTTTATTTTTAGTATTATATGTACATTGTCTACAGGATTATGAGCATTTGAATGCATTTGGGAAACGAAACACACACTGTGTTGCTCGAAGGCAAACAACAGTTCTGCTGTGGCTTTGTTTGGAACTATTTTCGTTGGCGAAATAGAGCAAAAACAGACAATTTTAACAATACTGTGTTTAAAATATATATATATTTTTTTTTTTTTTTTTTTTACAGTAGTTGTGTTTGCTGGGCTGTTATATAAAATCAATATCACATGTTTTCTTTTTAGCTAAGCCGAAACACAGCACTCTTGTTCATGTGATTCTGCTTAACTGAAAAGAACACATCCAAAATACACATTTAAGAGTTTATATTATTACACGTTGTCTATACGCATCTGTAGGTTTCAATTACAGTACATACAGTATCTTTAAAGGCAGAACTCAAAATAGTTTTAGCATCTTAATGAACATGGCAATTGTTCATGTATTTGGTCTCTGCGGAGTAGATCTGATATCCATGACATCCAAACTTTACAATCTATATTCTGAAGGTTTTTTTTACAGAATGTATATATCATTAACCTAATTTATATAACATTTTATCGATTGTATACCAAAAAACAGTACATTTTTGTTTTCTGGCCGTTGACAGAGTGAAAAAGAGAGAAATAAAAAATTTGTCTGAATTTTAAACCTGGCTTTATCCAATGTTCAGGTTTCTGTTCTGGAAAATTGTGCAATTTGGTGCATATTTACTTAGATAATGCCCAATTTCCATATTTAATCATAACATTTCACAAAACTTGCAATACAAAATAATTGTCTTAATGTACTGTGATTATCGATGGCTATTAGTTAAAACTCTCACTCTATTCACCTGAAGCGTCTTGTCTTAAACCCTTGTTTAATTTGAGGGTCTGATATGGATTTGAAGAGCAGGATTTTATACCAAATTTAAATAGTTTACATCACATCGTGCTTTGAAACTGGTCAGTGCTGCGCTGTTCATTATGCTGTGACATCTTAAGTGTTTTTTATAGCGGTGTTTAATCGAAAAAAGGTGGGCAATCCTCAAGTTTCCTCACATTTTTTGTATTTAGACAGTCTGGAGCCCTGACATAAATTCAGACTGGTATGGTGTATCCTACACAGTACACACAGAATAACACAAGCAGAGTCTCAGATTCCAGTATAGTAGTATGATTATTGAGTATTGCTCATGGCTTCTCGACTCTCTAATGTTCATGAGGGTGATGTGCTCGATTCCAGGGCTCTTGCCCATGTTCCGCTTCCGTCCCATTTGTCTCTGCTTCTCTGTTCTCAAACAGGATACGCTTAAAAAATGTGGCACAATGTACAAATTTCCCTTCCAGGAACAGTGTTGCCAAGTCATAATAACACTATACTTGGAAAATAATAAATCTATCATGTTTTATTCTAACACCAAAGACTTTTCTCACCAAAGTTATTTAGTAAAAAAAACCATGCCATTGTGAAAAAGAAGTGTGCTTAATTGTATCGAATGTGTACTTTTAGTGCACTTTAAATCTTTTTAAAAAGTGTATTTTTAGATAATATAATACTACTAAAAATAAGGCCACTTTAGTGCACTTAAACAGAGCACACATTAATGTTTCTTAACACACTTAAGTGCACTTAAAAAGAGCACACGTTCATGTGCACTTGGTAACACTTTACAATAAGGTTCATTAGTTAACATTAGTCAACTACATTAGTTAACATGAACTAATAATGAACTGCACTTCTACAGCATTAATTCATCTTGGTTAATGTTAATTTCAGCATTTACTAATACATTATTAAAATCAAAAGTTGTATTTGTTAACGTTAGTTAATGCACTGTAAACTAACATGAACAAACAATGAACAATTGTATTTGTATTAACTAACGTTAACAAAGATGAACAAATACATTAACAAATGTGTTGCTCATGGTTAGTTCATGTTAGTAAATACATTAACTAATGTTAACAAATGAAACCTTATTGTAAAGTGTTACCGTGCACTTAAACAGAGCAAACGTTCATGTTTCTTGACACACTTAAGTGCACTTGAACAGAGCACACGTTCATGTTTCTTAACACACTTAAGTGCACTTAAAAAGAGCACACGTTCATGTTTCGTAACACACTTAAGTGCACTCAAACAGAGCACAGGTTCATGTTTCTAAACACACTTAACTGCACTTGAACAGAGCACACGTTCATGTTTCTTAACACACTTAAGTGCACTTGAACAGAGCACACGTTCATGTTTCTTAACACACTTAAGTGCACTTGAACAGAGCACACGTTCATGTTTCTTAACACACTTAAGTGCACTTGAACAGAGCACACGTTCATGTTTCTTAACACACTTAAGTGCACTTAAAAAGCACACATTCATGTTTATTGACACACTTAAGTGCATTAAAAAGAACACAAGTTAATGTTTCTTAACAAACTTAAGTGTAATGTTTTTTTTAAATGCACTTTGTAATAATGTCTAATTAAGTTTTACTTAAACGCACATTTTAAAACACTGCAAATGTTTTTGTAGTGCTTTAAAGAAGTACACATATTTTGATGTACGTACTAATATACTAAAGCACACGTAAAATAATTTATTTTAATTTCACCCGAAGTGTGTTGTCCAAAATTACATTTGTTAATGTCTTTTAAATGTGTTTAGTGTATAATATATACCGTGGTAACCTTTAGTAAAATATGTTTATATTTAAAAAAAGCTGTACTTGTAGATAATATAATATGAATTAAATAAAAGATCAACTAAGTGCACTTAAAGAGAGACTTGAGAAGGTGCTTTCTTGTACCTGTATTATCCGGTCTTTAGGTTTTAGGCCGGACCTCTGTGCCGGCGAGTCCTCATCTACAGCTCTGATGTACTGGCCGGGTCTGGACTTCTCGCTGTGCAGGTTAAAGCCGAAGCCATTGGGGCCTTTCTTGATGGGACAGAGCCGCGGTCTGAGCTTGGGCTTCAAGTCCTGCAGGACAGACACAACACAACAAACACAACATCAGCACAATGAAACACAAGCGAGCGGGTGCCACTGGAATGCAGGAAGTTCGGCGTCAGAATGTCTGTGCCCTTCATCTTATAGAATACAGTCTTATCTTAAAGAGCAAGGTCAAGGTCAAGGTCACTTTTATTTATATAGGACTTTAAAACATTTCTGCTAACCAAGGTGCTTCACAAAAACACGATAAAAATTGCTGAGTATACACAAAAAATACAGAGTATAAAATTGTTTTATTAGCAACTTAAACCATTTTTAAAATCAAGACTAAGAATTTTACTCACTAAGACTAACATATCCAAAACTATGAATATGCCTGAGAAAAAATATACATTTTCAGAGATGACTTAAATACAGATAAAGAAGAAGATAGCAGATAACAGGTAACAGATTGAGGTAGCGAATTCCACAGCTTAGGGGCAAATATGGAGAAGGCTCTGTCACCAGGATGGTTCCCCGAGAACTAATGATTCCCTTAGGAACGTTTTCCTGGTTGCATTCGCACGGCCAGTAGGAACTCCGAAATAACGTAAGCCGCGCTTTGTGGTTGTGACTTTTATTTTGACGGCGCTGAGAACGCCAGAGCCACACAGTGCTCGCATTCTCTGTGTTCATTAGTTTACGATCTGTCTAACAGTCCTGTCTATTACGTTATTAGATAGAACTGTTATACATAGAAAGTAGACACTACAGTAATGAATTATTAGCGTATGCCGTGTGGTTGCCAGTGTCACTATCTGAGCAGAAATACATAATCATGTTTCTCTTGGTCCCCTCAAAGTTGCGTTGGATTTTCTCCTCAGCGTAAAGTTTAAGAGGTCCATCTATCACTGTTTTCCATGTTCGCAGAGTTAGTTTCTGGAGGAAATATATAGGCTATAATTTGTGTGTTTCCACAGCTTTTTTTTAAATGGCGGGTTCTGGTGTTTCGCGTGCGTTCGGCCCAATCAGCGCACACTAACGTCACGGATAGTTCCTATAGTGCTGGTTTAGACTGACTCTGAAGTAGGAGCTAAATTAGTTCCTCCAAAAGGAGTTCCTAGAACTAAAATCGTTCCCAGTTCCCGCGGCGCGAACACGCCAAAACCCGGGTACTTCCGCCAATAGTTCTAGGAACTGTGAAAAGGTTCGTCCGGTGCGAAAGCCCCTATGGATGATTGTCTCTAGGTCACTAAAAGATAGAAAAGATTTCAATTTCCGTAAGCCCCTAAAGCTGGAAAAAAATGCTTACATTTTAACTCTGAAGCAACAACAACAACAACACCCAGGTTCTTTACATGAGTGCGGATATTCGCTTGCAGAGGTCCTAAACTAGAGGTCAGGCCGTCTACCAAACGGGGGAAGCCAAATAAAATGACTTCAGTCTTGTTTTCATTTAACTGAAGAAAACCGACAAACTGAGCCGTTATACTTAACGTCAGAAGCCAAGAAGACCTCATTCAAACCTGTGGCAGGCTGCATAAACTGCTCAGACTAGTCTTACAGTAAAAGTTAAGTGATCTAATTTCTTTCTTGAATCCAAAATTAGACTGACTATCCCTTGACTAACTTCTAGTTGGTCAGACTAGCTCTTAAAGGGATACTCCACTTTTTTTGGAAATAGGCTCATTTTACAACTCCCCCAGAGTTAAACTGTTGAGTTTTACAGTTTTTGAATCCATTCAGCCGATCTCTGGTTCTGGCGGTACCACTTTTAGCATAGCTTAGCATACATCATTGAAGTGGACAAGACCATTAGCATTTCTAAAAAAAAAAAATGACCAAAGAGTTTCAATATTTTTCCAATTTAAAACTTGACTCTTCTGTAGTTACATCGTACACTAAGACCGACGGAAAATGTAAAGTTGGGATTTTCTAGGCTGATATGGCTAGGAACTATACTCTCATTCCTGCATAATAATCAAGAAACTTTACTGCCGTAACATGAGAGTAGCAGGCGTAATGATATGACGCAGCGCCTGAAAATAGTTCCGTTGTGTTAACGGAAGGTGGCCTATTTTCAGGCGCTGCGTCATATCATTAACTCTGGGGGAGTTGTAAAATGAGCCTATTTCCAAAAAAAGTGGAGTATCCCTTTAAGACAGAGTTTTAACATAGAGGCTGTGTTTATGTAACTGCTTTGAACAAATCTAAGATCGCAATTATATTGCATTTAGGCACAAATAAGAACACTTAATACCTAATATTCACGCCTGCCGGTTGAGAACCTTCCCCTTGTGAAACAGAAGTACACTTAAGCATTAAAGTACTGATTACAGACATATATATTTTAGAAAGAATATACTGTACTTAAAGGGTTAGTTCACCCAAAAAAAGAAATGTATCGCATAATTGACCCTCAAGCAATCCTAGGTGTATATGACTTTCTTCTTTCATCCAAACACATTCGGAGTTATAATAAATAATATTCTGGCTCTTCCAAGCTTTATAATGGGAGTGAATAGAGCCTGAGTTTTTGATGCCCAAAAAAGAGCATCCATCCATCATAAAAGTAATCCATACACTCTCCAGGGGGGTTAATAAAGGCCTTCTGAAGCGAAGCCATGCGTTTTTGTAAGAAAAATATCCATATTTATAACTTTATAAACTAGAATCACCGGCTTCCGGTAACGGAGCACACCTAGGATAAGCCATACACACCTAGAATGGCTTGAGAGTGAGTAAATTATGGGATCATTTTCATTTTTGGATGAACTATCCCTTTAAGTACAAACTGAATGTAATGTTTTCGGAGACACATTCATGTTATTTACAATTAAAAAATAAAATGTATTATAGTTTTTAAACAAATTAATATGAAAGGAAATTAGTTGCACTCAAGAGAGCTTTTTTTTTTACTGCAATTACCATAAGTAGGACTGAAGTACATCTTTATATGTAATTTCATAATTACTTCTATTATCTGTGAAATATGGCCAAAGTTACTGTGCTGAATGTACCGACAAGCATTTATGGTACAGTAAAATACAATTTTATTGAAACTTATTGTATTTATACATTAGTGATGAAGTTGCAATTTGATATATTTAATATATATATTAACTTTAAATGTAATATTGAATAACACACTAGTTTTAATTATAATTGAGTGCTTTAGTATGTTAGTCATCATCAAAACAAGTCTTTAAATTAAAGAAAACATGATTTAAAATGTACCTTTAAAATAAAACTTTAATTTGACATTATTGTGGACACTTAAGAAAGTGAACTCTCTTTAAGGTCTTTTATTTCATTGATCAATATTACATGATCTGCAACTACAGATTTTTGTAAATATTATTAAGATTGTAATGACACATTCTAAGCAGACTTGGTTTTCACAAGGGTTGTTGTACTGGACAGAGGAATAGACGACCAGACGGAAGGAGGTTTTCTCTTCGTCCTGAATGCGGTGGAAGTGGACGGCTCACCGGATGACGTCACCTGATCATGAGCCGCCCCTCACTGTTCTCAGACGGCACACGGTTCAGTGCATTGTCATGCAGGAAAATAACACCCTTCCGCTACGTTCAGCTAGTCGGGTCTATTTATAGTTCTGGACAGTGATTCAAACTGCCATTTGATCATTTTAACTGCTAATTTTAACAGCTGTTGATTGTATTTAGCCAAGAGAACTGTACAATGAAAAAACCCCCACAGATTTTAGAATAAGGTTCCTTCGTTAATGAATAACTACACAGGAACAAACGAGTAACACAATATTAACAATCTAACTACTATTAACTAACAAGAAACTCTGATTAACGAACTAATAGCGCACAGATGAAAGTGGTACTTCACTATTAACTAATCAATAACTACTATTTTTTTAATGCTTCCCAGAGAACTACTGAGAAAGTTTCATAATTCATGCAAAACTATAATCAATAACTAATGCAGGACAAATGACTAGCACTACATTAACATTTTAACTGCTACTGTAAACTAATACACGAGGTTGTTTACATTATCAATATGTAATAGCATAGCAACTACATAATTTAATTTTAATAATTCATATGTCCTGTGGCCAATTTTCCGGCATTCCTCTGGGCTGGCATTGATTCACTCGAGTCATGGTGAGTAATGGGACATATTGAGTCATCAGCCGCCCAAATACCATATACAGTTATTTGAATGCCGGAAAATTGGCCACAGGACAAGTAAGGTCCCGACAACTGCATTTAAAAATTATGAAACTTTCTCAGTAGTTCTCTGGGAAGCATTAAAATAATAGTAGTTAATAATTAGTTAATAGTGAAGTACCACTTTCATCTGTGCGCTGTTACTTACTAATTCGCTAATCAGAGTTTCTTGTTAGTTAATATTAATTACTAGATTGCTAATATTGTGTCACTCATTTGTTCCTGTGTAGTTATTCATTAACGAAGGAACCTTATTCTAAAGTGTTACCATTTCGAGTTTATTGTGAAGACCGTCGCCACCAATGTTCTCTAGATCAACTCGGCTAAACGCAGCGCCGGTGTGCACAATTATCGTTATTCAGAGTCTGCGCCATATTTAGTTTGATGCAAACGCAAATTATTCTTCATATCTGTAGCACAAACGATGCTGGGAGAGTCAGAGTTCATGTAAAAGTGTAATCCTTCAGAGGATTGTTCTGGCTAACTGCAAATATAAGCAGTGAAAACATGATTAGCATTAGCATTTACAATCCTCTCGGCATCGTCACTCTTACACACACAGTGCTCCGGCAGCATTTCCTCTCTGTTTGGCTCAAGCGCAGGAAGAGCTGGACGTCCTGAGGACCACACCTGCTTTTCACTGTCAGAAACAATGCGGAAACACCACCCGCCCAAAGCCACAGCGCAACTCACACGCTCCGTCACAGCGCCGTCAGTCAGGACATCGTGGAGACGAATCAGCCTGTGAGGGGTGTATCCCGCCCTGGTGAATAGCTCTGCTTCTTCCTCGTTTCGCCTCAATTCTGCAATCTATAAATAAATGACAACACAACAGGATCTGATCATTCTGCCTGCTTGATTAAACCAATCAGACATTTCACAGTGGATTATATAATTATGGATCAAACGCATTGAAACACCAGTGCTAAATTTGGTTACATATCGCTTAATCGCATAATCACTTGAATAGCTCTTAAGGCTCATTCACGCCAAGAACGATGTCTGTAACTATGAGGTTTTAATAATGGTTCTAAATGTAAAAGAATAGCACACCACAACTATTATGATAATGATAAAGAGGGCCCTATTTTAAGGATCTAAGCGCATGGTCTAAAGCGCAGGGAGCAAGTGCACTTAGTTTAACGACTGGCAAATGGTCGGCGCGCACAGCGCATGGTCAAAAAGGGTTGTCCCTATTCTCTTAATGTGTAAAGAGTGTGTTTTTGGCGTAACGTACAATAAACCAATCAGAGTCTCATCTCCCATTCCCTTTAAAAGCCAGTTGCGGTCGCGACATGGGCGGACTCGCTATTTACATGGCGGGATTTGCAAATGGAAAAACTGAACGCGTCTCAAGCGAGGATACGAGGTTAAAGCGCAAACAGACTATCTACGGGACAAAGTGTACCCACGTTGTGGACCCGCCTATAGGTGCACATTACTAACGCGCTCTTTAAATAACAATAATAAATATTGCGCCATTGACTTTAGGCCATGTGTCAGTTGCTCAATGGCGCAGTCTATTTCAGTTTCCCTCAAAATAGCAGTGCCCCAACAATGCACAGTCTGAACACACCTGGTTTTCAGACCAGCAGCTCATGGGCGCACAAAGGGGTGCAAATGCATTTGCTATTTAAACAACGTGGCGCAGGATGTGAAAATGATAACTGCGTCGGGCTGAAACTAGCAAAAAACACTTGCGTCGCGTTTGGCGCTGCATTGCACCGGGTGTAATATGATAGGGCCTAATGACTTGAATAGCTCTTAAGGTCCGTTCACACCAAAAACAATGTCTATAACTATGAGGTTTTAATAATGGTTCTAAATGTAAAATAATAGCACACCACAACTATTACGATAATGATAAAGATAGTTCTAAAAATCACTATAATGACAAAGGCACAGAGGAATGATATCGCTGGAATGACTTTCAGAACAATTTTTTTCCAGCTGATGAACAATAAAAACATTGACAGCCAATCAGAATCCATCCTGCAGTAACGAATTCAAGCATTTAAAGCGGTGCATGCTTATAATAAACAGAAAACCTGAAAAATAACTTAGAGAACCATCCTTTTATGAATTGGTAAAAAAAATTATTGCCTTTCGAACTGCGATATTATCAAATATTTAACATCCCGTATTGCTACTGCTTAGACTAGCAGGCATTAAAAGACCAAACTACCAATAAAACAGGTTTCCTTTTAAGCCTGTTCACACTTTGGTTCACTCTAGTGGTCGTCCAATATCCAAGGCCGATATATCGACTGATATTTGGCATTTTATAATCATCAGCATCAGCTGAAAAGTATTTCTGTTTTGCTGACAAGTGTCAGAAGTGGTCTTTTATTTTGACAGCGCCAAGACTTTTATTTTGACAGGACTGAGAATGCCATGAGGTTAAATTATTAGACAGAACCGATAAACAAAGAAAGTGAACTGATTAGTAACTGGAATAGGCAAATACTATAAAACTTTCTCATATACTGTCGCCATTTAGCAAATATGTATCTGTAACATTTAAACAGGTCTTTGAATATCTAATAATTGGCGAATCCAGCTGTTTAATCTTTTGAGGTGTGTATTTGCAGCCTGTAAAAAAAATATGTACTCTGCTGCATGATGCTCCGTCCATGCTGTGCTAAATCCAGTTGGCCACTTTTTATTCATATTTTTCAGCTATTTATTTATAATAGGATTAAAGAATAAAGAAGTTTCTATCTTAAGTATAAATCTGTTTATTTCAAATTAAAAATAACGTTTTCAAATGATTTTTTGAATATTACTATTATTCCTATTAATTATTTCTAATTTAGTAAATATTTAACATAAATATACACTTTATTGGAACTTATTATAATCATTAAATTAAATTAACTAACATCACATATTATATCGACCATCCTGCTCTCTAAGATATCAACATTGGCCATAAAAAATATCAATATCAATTATATATATATATATATATATATATATATATATATATATATATATATATATATATATATATATATATATATATATATATATATATATATATATATTTCCTCTGTCAGTAACCATAAAGTGAACAGTAAAAAAAAATCTCTCTCCAGCTTAGTTATCATAGGTTACATTAAATTCTATTATCAAAAACTATTCCTATTGTACTAATACTATTATCTTGTTCAATAACAAAATCATTTATTTAATAAAAATAATATAAATTGTCTTTTACAGAATAACAATAAAATTACAGTAGTTACGGCTGTCTTCATTTCTTCATTTTCACTAAATCATCAAGCTTTTATTTTGGCAGGGGGTCAAGCCTCTTCTTAGTTGGCAACAGTATTATAAACGCCTCTCAATACAAATCTGGTGAAATGGTAGTTGCATGTTGCGTTCCCAAATGCACTTTATTGGAGGCCCAAACTCACAGTTTGGAGCATTTACTGTGAATGAGCCGCTCTGAGATGCCGAAACACCAGATCATGAGCTGCTTGAGTGCAAATTAAATCAGTGTCGCGCATATATTTATTGAATTAAATCGCAGCTATTGATTGTTCAGGTCCCTAATCAAAATGAAATGACTGATCCCACTGCTCAACTTTATCTATCCCCGATTCACACCGGGCCCGTCAGCGGCGCAACAGAGGATGTGTTGTGCGTCTCGTGTGGAGGAATCTCAGAGAGGGCAGGGAATCTGAGGAATCTGCTGCAATCACAAAAGCCTGTCCATCTCGTGAGGAGGAACCATTGAAAAGAAAATGGGAGGCACCAAGGTTTGGCTCCAACAGAACATCCTGTGTACACAACCTCGGCCTTGACCTGAGACCAGCCCTGCCAACCCGACACAACCACTGCAGCTGCCAACACCAGAAGATCTTACAAACTCTGAAACATGGAGGGAGTAAGTACTTACAGTCATTTGGGTTGTTTTTACTACTGGGGGGACCAATGCATTGTGTCAAAAGCCTAAATATTTGAAAACACAGCTGAGTTCGGACCAGTCAAAATATAAGAAAAGATTCAAAACATGGTAGTAAATCTCTGTTCGTGCAAAAACAGAGAAAATTACATACGCTGTATATCACAGCGTCCAGATCAGAGTCCTGACCTCAGTTCCACAGACGTGCTGTGCTGTGATCTGAAACCAGCCGTTTACACATATACAAGGGAAAAAGATCATGAAACTGAACACCTTTACCTTTTTGTTTTGTCTTTTTGTCATTTTGGTTCTTTAGTGCTGATGCAGCAAAAATACAAATAAAAATTTGGTTGGTCTGGCTAATGTGCATTCGCAATGAATGCACATTAGCCAGACCAGCCAAATTTTTATTTTTATTTGATATATTTTTTTAAAACCATTGCATTTATAATACCTATGTACTAGCAAATAGCTGTCTAGAGGGCGTTGATATTCTGACCGCCAAGTTAACAAGATTTTGTGCAGCCAAACAAGCCATTTCTGCGATTCTAGAATATGTTCTCATGGCTTCAATTTCATGACACAGCAAGATCATATTTTGTAAACTGAGTCAGCTGATTTGATGTTAAAGGAAAGCTGAAGTATGGGGATTTCCTGCTACACTGGGGAAAAAAATTTAGAAACAATTTTCTGTCTGAAATTTAAATAATTACAATGAAGTAACACACTGTATTAAATGGGAAATTTTGACATTGACATTTGACATTTTGAACTGCAGTATTTAAGATTTGCATGTGGAAGTGGAACAACTTGTGTATATTGTTGTTACAAAATGTAGTTACATAATTCCTGTTACACATGTGTACTTACACATACCGTTCCGTGGGTTGTTACATACGTGTAGTTACACAAATATTACAGCTGTAGATACTATGTACCAGTTTGTACTTACACTGTAGTTACATACAATGTACACATGTAGTTACTATGTAAGTTCACAGGTATTAGGGTCACTTGATATAAAGTGGGACCGTTACGGTCATTTACACCTTCAAAAATAATTATATACAGCGTGCAGTTGTGTGTAAACTCATGCTATGCATTGCAGCACTAGCAAAAATGCAGATGAGTGTAAATAAACAAGAAATGTAGGCCTATAGCTCTTGCTCGGCTATTTGAAATGTGTAAATGTGTTGCAAATATAAAAAATAAAAAGCTGAACTGGATTCTTTGATGACTGGTGATTCCCCGATTAAAGCTTTACATATTCAAATGACTGTACCCGATACTATACAGCTTTGACTAGGCAAACATTTAGCAAAGGAGTGCTAGTGTTTAGCTGGCTGTTTACTCTGTGATATGTTTATCCGTCATCTAATTCTACTGTCATGTCATCAATGAATGTGAAACCCCCTACATTGCTATTCTCTGTGGAGTTTGCATATTTTGTTCCTGCAATATAAAACAAAAACAAAAAAAAAACTTTAAAAAAAGTTTATCCTTTGCGTTTTTCACGTACAGATGACAATGTTGTCCCCGTTCCCCGATCACACGGATCTGTGAAAACGGATAAAACCGCTGTATTATTCGTGCCAGGCCAATAGATGGCGATGTCACTAAAAAGTTTCACTATAAAGAAACACTACAAATTCACGTTTTTGTAGTTTAAACGGAGCCGATAATGGTGTGGTTTTCAAAAACTTGCACTTTGAAACCCGTTTTCAAATGTTTGCATTTTCAAGCCTCACATTAGATGAGAAGCGCTGTGGGGTGGAATAAAAAAAGGAAGTCTTGTGTCGTACGTACACAGAAAATATCTTGATTACGTGTTGAAAAGGTCGTTCTTTCCAGCAAAACTGAATTTAAAACCAGAATATAGGGCCTCAAATATATTGAAACA